TTTCTCTGTTATAATTGTAGTTATAGTTATTGGCACCTGGCAAGCTGCTGTGTGTAGTAGTGTTGTTCGAGTCTAGTGTCGTTGATCATGTTAAAGAAGCACCTTCATGGATAGTAAAGTTACTAAACGGAATTCCTTTAAGGACATTGTCTTATGTAGCCTCTCCATATCCATGTTAATTATTGTTTTAGAGCATTTCTTGTTATGTGTGGACTAAAAGCTTAGTTCTTTAGTTTTTATGTTGTGTTAATTAAGCTTTGTTCTTTCTCGAAGCCTGGTTGTTCAAGTGAGCTCTCTAGAGTTGAGACAACAGATGCACAACTTATTCAAATTAAGGTAAATATTGTCTCCAAGTAGTAAAACTTTGAACTGATTGTTGCTTATGTTGATCAATGCTTTCCGATAGAGCGAGGATATTGTGGACCAATGATATCGTGGTTTTTCTTTGGAGGTGTTGGCTTGACAGAAATCAGAGGAATTTCCCAGATCATATAATTCTGTTAAATATTTTTGCTATTTAGTTTTGTTATCTCTAAGTTGTATACTATATCTAAAGCTTTTTGTAACTGTGATACTTTTCTGATTTCTGCCTATTAGTATCCCTTTTTGTTTGTCCCATTGGTTGTTTTTGTGATTCCCCATTCCCCCTCTGTATTACTTTCTTAAATGATAAGGTTTAAGTTTCTGCAAAAAATGTTTTCTTTTGCCGAAACTAATTTGTTATTTTTTGCTTAAGAAATTTCTTTTCATTTTTTATGCTCTTTAAATTTTTAACCATCTCCTTGATTAGCAAATAAACATAAAAATAGAAATATTTAATCTTATATAATAATGGGATCTTTCAAAAATATATATCTAGACTAGTCCTAATAATTGTTTCCTGATCATGTTATATTTTCATGTTTGTTCCTTAGAGTCGAATGAAGTTTTATATCTTCTCAGTAGAAAAGCCCGATTCTCTTTTCACTATGATTGATTGTCAAAAACGGAAAGGCTCAATTGTTACACTTTCTTTTGTTTATGTACTTGGATTTATACTATTGCTTTATAGCATCTACTTCAGTGTATAAAGCTAAATTTTTGTCATTTTCCATTAGATAACTACTGCAGGCCTGTGGTCACAAAATGACTCTGAACTTAATATTGAAGATGCCCCTGGAGGATTAACTGTAAGAGAGAGTTTGGAAGTTGCAAATGACGGAGATGAATTGACATTTTTGGCTGCAAAATTTTGGTTAAACTGGTTTGGTTCAGGTGCTAGAAGGGGTAAGTTGGCACCAAAGCTCTGGAAATCAGATACAGAAATTATAGAACATCAAGGAGAGAGTACTGGCGTGGATCAATGCTCAAAATCTGCAGTCGATGACACAGTCATCAAACTTGACAAAGAGGAGCTCCCCATTAGTTTCTTGGTATCAGTCAAGGAGACTTTTAAGGCAGCAATTGTTCACTTTGGTAGAAGGTGGAACCGACGAATTTTATTTATCTATAGACATACAAAGCAGATACTGACCAACTTGTGGAAGCTATCTGTGAGTAAATTATTAATGACATTACTTTAATTGCAAGATTCAAGCATGCTCCTTTATTGATCAAGTACTTACTTTTAGTTTTAGTATTCTATTAAGTTAGCTATTCTACTGCTGTAATGTACCATCAAGAAGCTCAAATAAGATCTTTCCTTTTCATTTTAGATTTTTTTCAGACAAAATTCATGAATAAAACATTCCACCATGTGCTAGTAAATAAACCTTTAGATTATAGTTTGGAGATTCTATGTGTGGTTGGTTCTCTTCTCATTGAGCTCATGTGTTCTTTAAATTATTGACCTTCAAATTTGTGGCCTTATATCAGGTGATGCTTGATGCTGTAGTGAATATGATGTAATCCTTAGGTTATTGACCTTAGAGCTTTTAGTACTCTTTAGTTAATGAGAGCTATTATTTTCCATCACGGCTTTCAATCTTATCTTCGTATTTGTTTGTTTCCTGTGCTCTTAGTGAAATGTTTCCTATAAAGAAACTACGTAAGAACACATTGTTGTTTGCCTTATTGCTGGTTCAGAATGTTGCAGGAATTCATTTAGATCTTGATGTCTCTAAGTGGTCGCGGATTCTTCATTTGGACAGGCTTCAGTCGGCTGCAGGTAGATAATCTGCTTTCTTTTTCTCACTGCATGCAAGTGTTACCGTGATGATGTGATAACCTGTAGGCTGTCTTTTGATGTTGACATAGAAAAATTTCTTAGAGAATCAGCCTTGTATTTTGACATAATTGGTTTCATGACCTTGATGCTTATTATCACATTATTTGATTTTTGTGTATGGAGGATTATTTATCCCCGCTGAGACACCTTGCAAGAACTGGATTTACCATTTTCAACTTTAGAGGAAGATAGATGGTCCACTAGCCTTAATAAGCCGTAAATAAAATTCCGAGTGCTTCTGGTTATGATGTTCCTCTTTCTATTGCTCCAATGCAAACCTTTMTTTCAATAAATGTGCTAACAATTTACAACGAGGCTTTACTGGTTACTTTATATTATATAACATTGCATGAGCTCATGTTCTTGCAAAAGTAAATAAATTCACTGTTGCCAGTGGATGAAAGAAACGAAATATGATACTTATTCGATTCAGATGTTCATGCCCTTGGTTTTGCAAGTATATTTTTCTTTATTAATTGATGTGAAGGTCGCTTGTTATGGTTGTAAGATGTGTTTTTCCCTTCAGTGCAATGGCTCGTGAGAAGAAGTAAAAGTTTTGAACCAACATACTTGTATACTAGAGAAAAGGTAATTTATTTTTATTGTTCATCTATTTTTGTTATGATAACTTCTTCTCAATTACTTCTGCTTTCTGTTCTGAAACTGTAATTTTCACTTATACTGAATTAATCTTGGTTGTAAGTGTTTTTAACCGAATGCTTTTCAAGTTGCTTTTATTCTATTTTTTGCAATAAGGTGGTTCATATGCTGCAGGGATATTTTTTATTACCAGAAGGAGCTAAGTCTAGGCATAATATCCAAACAGTTAATGTAAGCATACCAGCCCAACATTCATGCTTTGGAAACAGGTATAATAATTGATTCGGTGAATCTAATTTTTGAACGTGGAATGTTATTGTTATTGGTTTCTCTAGAAACTCAGTTTGTTTTTTCAGAGAAGAAGTTTATGGAAGATTTTTACTTCATTGATTTTTTTACTTGTTCCTTGTACTTACAAGGGTAGAGTTCCATAATGGTCCCTTTCTTCAAGAAAGCCATGTGTATAGCTTTTGACCTCTCCTGATCAAAGGAGAAATAAGAAAGGTGAGTAGGACGAAGAGGCATAGCTTCCTGATATACAAAAGGTTGCTACTCATTTGGACATGCATTTTTTCTTTTCAAAAAGCAAAATAATATTGTTTGCTCAATTATTTCCAAATTTGATTTGAATTAGTTATTTTTTTGTTAGATGTAAAAGAGGGCAACTAGATTTAAGGATGATTTGGGATGCTCCCACTCTTGAAACTAAGAAGATGCCAAAAGGAAAAGATCCCAATGGACGTAAAAAAGAAAAGAAAAGAGAGAATAATTAAAAAAAAAACCGATGAGATAAAGAGCTTAGCTAGAGGCTAAGAAACAAGGTAAAAAATTCTTGAGTCTCCCTCGAGACACCAACGAAATTCTTGGTTCTTCTCAAGCCATAATCTTCAACATATAGCCTTGATGGGCCTAATTGTGGCTTTGTCAACATGCCCAGTCAAAGGTTGGGAAACAGCGTCTTGGATATTGGAAGGAGGGGGGACATCAACTCAAGTGAAATAGTTCCGGAAGCAAACTTAAAAATTTGTGGCTTTTTGCATCTTTGTAATTACACCGTTGAGGAAAGATTGAGACTTGAGAGGGATAAATTTGGGTTTCATTTCTGAGTTCTATCTGACGTAACCTTTCCTTCATAGGTTCATGTATCTTGGTTGTACCTTTCCATGTCTTAGTAAAATTGTTGTCTCATTTCCAAACTAATAATTGAAGATCTAATCAGGTTTACTGTAACTTTTTAAAATATGTATTTTGCAGAAAAATAATTATATTGTTGTTGTCATTGTCTGCCATCATCATTATGATAATCATTATTTTTGGCAGATGGCAGCAACTCCTCATAAACAGATTTGTTGGGTATGATACCATCTTGATGAATAGTTTACTGACGTTTCCTGGTCAAGGTAATATATTTATCTGTATGTAGTTACCATGTTATGGTGGAAAATGTTTTAAGCGTGCTTTGCATATGTTTTTCTTGGAATCACTCGGATTCTTTTTTCCCTTCTGCATCTTTAATTGGCATCTTATTGGCTTATTAAGGGTTCGTTTGGTAATGTTCCTATTTCTTGTTTATCGTTTCCAATTTCATTAAGAAACCTAAGCATTTTGCAACTAATTATGTTTTTTATTTCTATTTTTTGAAAACATTCAATGTATAGAAATTTTGGGAACCATCAGAACAAGTTTCATGTTTCCATCTCCGATTTGTTATAAAACATAAATATAAATATTGTTCGACTATCATTGAATTCATGAGTGCTTGGGACTATGCAATAAGAAACAAACAAAAAACGGAAAGGTTACCAAACGGGCTCTAAGTTTTCTTTGARTGATCGGTTTAGTGCATATCTTTCAACTATAGTATCTCTGATTAATCCTGTAAATGATTCTTTTAGAATTGATTATGATTTTATTTATAAGTTCGTTTGTTTTTGTTTGTAACCTGTAATGAGTGTCCAACCCCCATATTTGAATTTTGTTTTATAAAAAAACCTTTAATGAGTGCACAACTCTAGTTCATTTTCATAAAACAAAATCTTCAATTAATGGAATTTCTTGGAACCCATCTCCTGTACGCTTTCTTCATTTTAGATGTCTCTGTACTCTTGTTCAATGTGAAGAATGTATACTGTATTGTATCTTTTGCTTTAGGAGGATGTATATCTTTTATTACATTTTCAGCTAAGCTGAAATTTGCTTCAGGCTATCTTTACAATTACCAAACGAAGGAGTTTTACAATCTTAGTTATGCATTTGAGCCGCCAGATGGCCCTGCAAGATTTGGAGGTTCGTCGAATAATCATTTTTCTTTTACTGCATACCAATTTGGAGATATGGGAGGTCTTGTAGTCCTAACTAGTGGTATTAGAGTCATATTCTTGCACTGTGGATTAGATCCTTGAATGTTAACAAAAGTGGTTCTTTGTGAGCTTCWGCCTTTGTCTGGGCTTTACAAATTGTAATATGCCTGGTCACCTCGAGATAGTTTGCTTTACCTCAAGTGCATTGAGTGTTCTGATACTATTAGCTCCTCACCTCTATCAAGAAGATAATTTATACAGTTGGTTGCCAAGGTGCAAAGATGAAAGTTCTCCTTACTGAACACCGCTATTAATGAATCGTTTTGTAAATACCAGTGGAGTATAAYTGCTGTAATGAACAGGCACATTTTTCTATTTCACCATAAACTTGATTCATTACCGTGTGGATTATCCTTTGCCTAATTTTGGTACTGATTTGTCCTGCCAGAATTTTAGATAATTAGTTTAAATTTTAATGAGTCCATTCTGCTGCTGGGAATTTTCTCCTGGCTATTTAAAATGCTTCTGTATTATTATTATTGTTATTACTATTATTTGATAATTTTTTTTAGATAAATAAAATGTCTGTATTAGAGTTTAGTTATTTCCATTAGGTCATTTCCTTAATAATCTGTGTTAAGACATACAGTTTTTGGACTATGATATCTGCCTTGACAAGTACCGTTCTCTCGCCTTGTTTCCATGCAGACTACTTCGTAACCAAGTGTGGTGTGCTCATGATGTCACTCTTTGTTTTCTTCACTACCACTATGTCGGTGTCATTTACATTGAGGGAGACGCAGGCTCGCATGTTGAAGTTTACAGGTTCCTTTCTTTCATTTGCTCTATGAAAGTATAGTTTTTTCATTTTAAAAAAGGTTTACAGGTTCCTCAATATTACTTTTCCACCGGTGGCCTTGTACATCATTATAGCTTCATGTGTGGCATGCTAGAATGCACGCCTACATTTTATTCAGAGAGCTAGCCCCTCTTTCTTCTTCTGTCTACTGCTCATTTATGAGCCTCAATATTCTTATGTTACCACACTGGTTTGGCAAGTATGGTAGAAGTTACCAGTGTGCTAGAAATGCATGAAGTCAGTAGACTTTCTCATCTCATGGTGCCATATGCAGAGTTACTGATAATAAATATTTATATTATGAAAGAGAAATTAAATGTTCTTAGTGACTCCATTTAATTTGATAAGTAGGGTCAATGGAAAATGATGGTTTTAGATTAATTTTTTGGTCGAGAACTTGGGTTGTATCAAAATGTTCTTTAATTGCCCGAAGTAAAGTGGTTGATCAAGTGGAATTCTGCAGTGGGTCATTTTTATTTTAATTTTTTAGTGGAATTCTGCAGTGGGTCATTTTTATTTTTATTTTTTAGTTCAACAACATGTGAGGGAGGGTGAAGATTCGAATATTCGACTTTTAGATAAAAGATATATACCTTAACCAGTTGATCTATTTTCAAGATGCCCAACCGGTCACATCTTAAATATTTCTCATAGCCAAGAATTTTTAAATTAGTTTCTCCATGGCTTCTGAGATGTCTGATCTGTTTCCAATGTCGATGGATATATCCATCCATCCTTAGAGTTCAGGAAGGCTGCATAACTTTTCTTGAAATATAATGGGGTTCGACTTGTTTTTAATTACTGCAGTGCAGCTTCAACACCATGCTCGGCATCAACTTCCAACGTTTCAGTTGATCTTTGTGCACGTAATTGAGTCACTTGTCTTTGTTCCAGTAAGCATTCCAGATTTTTTTCTTTACTGCTGATTGTATTTCTAGTTTTTTACCATTTGGTGGTCCATATTGTCTGACAACTCTGTTACCGGGTCCCTTTTTATGATGCAGTTAAGCACATGTGTGTCAATCCTCTTTTTTTTGTTTGGACCCCTCTATGCATTCTGCGTCTGTGGGTACGGAGGGGACTCTCGCCCCCCCTCCTTTCATAAATGGAATTCATCTGTCAGCTGAGGGAGCTAGTCCTCTGTTATCACAATAAAAATGGAATATCAAAACATTCAAAACTTCCATTTTTTTCTTTGGTTGTGCTGACCTTCTAGTTGTTTCGTTACATTTTTCCCTGCTTTTTTCTATTGACCACTCTTCATGAGTTCATAAATAATCTATCGCTTCATTTGCAGATTATGATCGGTATACTATTTTTCCTGTTTGAGTTTTATGATGATCAGCTCTTGGCATTCATGGTCTTGATCCTGGTGTGGTTAAGTGAATTATTTACACTCATAAGGTCTCTCTCTCTCTCTCTCTCTATCTCTCTCACATACACACGCACAATTTACACTAATAAGGTCTCTCTCTCTCTCAATTTACCCCTCACACCTTCCTTTGGGGTTTGTATCCTTCAACTTTTTTCTTCCTTCTCGTATTATCAATGAAAAGTTTGTTTCTTGTTAAAAAAAAAAAAATTACCCCTCACACACATACACTTTGCGGTTTTAYTCTGCGTTAGCACTTGTCTTATACTGTCATCAGAACCAACAATTTTGCGTTAGAATTTATATAATACATTTGATACTGTGCACAATACATATCAATTATATTTGTAGCTTTTACGGAATCTAATATTGTTGTTTTTATTACCTGCAGTGTGCGGACTCCAATATCGATGAAGTTTTTTCCCCGCTTTTTTCTGCTCTATTTTCTAGTTTTTCATATTTATTTCTTCTCCTATGCTTATGGTATGCCACTTATCTATTAACTATCCAACAATTGGCCTTTTATCTTCTTGTTAATCAGATCCTAAATTCCTTTTTCACAAAATTTTCAGGTTTTTCATATTTGGCTCTTTCTACAACTGCCGCCTTTATGCAGCATCTGATTCTATATTTTTGGAACCGCTTTGAGGTGCACTATTTTCCATCTTCATTAAACTAAAGTACGTTTGAAAATTTCAAAGATAGTAATAATGGAACTAGTGTCTTCATAAGAGTTAAAAGTGAACTCGGGTGTTTTATATTAGCTTTATATTTCTCAGTCTGGTCTGCTATACTATTTCTCTTATGTTCATGAGCTGCGCATGGCTCAGTGTTAAGTGATCCCCCACCCCACATTTGTTGAACTAAAAGAAAAGGCTGAGTTGCTAGCAGATACTAAGCTGAACAAAGCCTATGTTGGTTTGTGAATTGGGTCTATGGTTTACTCGTTTTTGGGACATGATGCAAGAGTCGGGAGAGCCACATTAAGAAGAGTAGTTAATCCATTTACATATTTTAAGTGAGAGTTGGATCAATATTTATTTAGGCATGTAGTTGGCTTCCTGGTGTGTTTTCTTGTCACTCTATGGTTTATTGATGCGCGTTCATTACACATTTTAAATTTAGTCAACCAATTGCTTATAAATTTACCAGTCACATCCAATACAGGTACCGGCTTTGCAGAGGTTCATGCAAAACAGACGATCTCAACTACATCAACATCCTGACTTCCATATTACCTCTTCTACCATTCTTGCTTCCACATTGCATATTACAAGGTTAAACACAAGGAATCCCGGTGCACTAAATACAGATCCAAACTCTGGGACTGATTCGAGATCTGCACCCGAAACTATGCCCCCTGGACCTGGAGATATGACCGGAGAAGTTCCCCATCTTCAAGAGCAAATAGAAAATGATGGTCTTGACACAGCACGCGACACAATTCAAATTCCGGGACAAGAACTTGGGCAACCGAGGACTGCAAATTCTTTTAGTTCTCTGCTGTTTTCGATCTTGGGAGGGCGAGGGGCTACTTCTGAAGGTATTAACTCACTACGTTCGATGTTCCGAGATGGAAGGACGCATGGACAAGGTTATACACAATCACCTACTGAGGAAAACAATGAGAATCAGAACGTTCAATAGTGCTGGATTGTCATGGTTGAAAATTAATCCATAGGTGTTGATATTTTCCTAGTAGTGTATGTAAGTTGAACATTGATTCGGGGCGGGGTCGTTGGCGGTGGCGGGTAAGCAAAGGAGGAGAAAAGAAAAGAAAGGGTAGTAGGTAGAATGATATTTTATCTAATTGGCTGTGTTACATGACTGGCCTTAACTCCTATTATTGATTATAACAATGAAAAAAAGTATACTTAATGGCATTATGATGGGAGGGGATCCTATTTCTTGTGTGTATAGCAATAGCAAGGAAAAAAATTAAGTCTTTGAAAAATAGTAAAAATTGTTGACAACAATCAAGCAGAGGAAAAACACTTTTTTACCAACAAGAATTTTGTCAAACATTATGAATGGATGTCATTGGTATTATTATTATTAYAATCTATCTATATTTTGTGTAAATGAATTTTTGCTACAGAGGGAAAAAAACGGCAATGTCATTATCTATTTTATTTAGATATTAATTATATATTAACTCTAAATTAAAATTAAAGATAAATTGACAAAATATGTAATTGGGTCATATGAAAACTATAAAGAATTGGACTTGACCAAATTAGAAAAAGAGACTTTGAAAGCTTTCAGAATCAGATGATAAAGGTTAAAGATTGAATCCACCATACAACACATACAACAAAAATCAAAGTTTTATTCTTCAGAACTAGATTGTTCTAATTGGCTGGTCCATTTTCCTTTTAAGAAAATTAATGTGTTATACAACTRKMMTTAATGTCACGCAGAAGTTATCATTATTATTATTTTTTCCTCATGTAAATAGGACATCAGCGAGTTAGTATTTTATATGAGGTAATACATAGCTACTTGCAAGTACATTTTGAAGCCTAAAGCTACTTGCAAATACATTTTGAAGCCTAAARTTAGTATTAATATGAGTTGGTCGTACCTATCAATCTACAAAATTTCTATTGACAATTGAAAATCGTCTTTCCTTAGCAAATTTCTGGTTAGTCATAATTTTTTCCAAGTCGAGCCAAACGAGCTCTGATTTTAGGTGGATTACAAGCCCTTCCTCGTTCTCAATGTGTTTGAGATAAGGTCCGAACACACGTGCCTCAACAGGAGAATGTCACATATTTGTTCTTAGATTTACCCCTGACACTATTTATATAATCATCAACATATATTATTTTACCCAAAAAAAAAAAAGAAAAAGAAAATTATTTATTTACCATAATCTTCTGCAAGAAAAAGAAAACAAAGTGCAATCATGGATGTTCATCATTGCGTAAAAAGTTCCTATTCACAGTCCTTACTTCTTGATAATTCCATTTCCATTTCCATTTCCATTTATGTACCAAAAGATGGAGATTCATTGGAGACCCAATTTTCCCACTGAAAAAAAAAAATTATCTTTATCAAATCCATTCTCAACAACCACTTTCCCCTTTCCACTTTCCAGGAAGATGATGAATCGAAGAAAACGACGAAAGAAATCCACCTTTCCAGCCACCACCAACGCCAACTAGTGGAGAAAAAATGGTGGGTGCTGCAGTATTTTGACCCCTCTCTCTCCTCTCATCTTCTTCATCTTCATTTTTTATACTTTTTTTCAGATTTTCTTTGTTGCCCATCTCAATTTCAGAGTACCCAGTAAAGAATTCGAACCGAAAAGGGAGAATCATGAAGGTTTTGATTAGCTTTCTTCTCTTTTTACTCTCTGTTACTTCAGCCGCCACTTCGATCACCAACTCCACTTGCCCAATGGACCTCAATTATGTGCTCAGAATCCCATGGAATGAGACGGATTGCAGAAACCCCCTTTTCGAGGCCACTGCCGCAGCCGCCATGAATGATTCCTCTAAAATCCCTTGCTGTCAAACCCTCTTGTCCCTGTTCGGAATTGCTCTGGCCCAACACCTGAAAGAAACCTCTCTTTTCAACCTCCCAAACCTAGCAACCTCCAATTCTTGCCTCCGAGATTTCCAATCGAAGCTCTCCTCGTCCTCGCTCTCCCTCCCCGGCGATCTTGTTTCCAAGTGCTTTGATCCTTGGCAGTTTGTGATCTCTCCTGATGTCTGTGCTGGTATTCAGACGACTCGAGATTGGGTTTCGAAGCTTGGCCAGACCTCGCCGCTGGATTCTGGGTGTCGGTCAGACCTCACCGCTGCAAGTTGTGATGCGTGTCTCGCGGCTGGTTTCAAAGTTCAATCTATCTTGACTGGAATTGATGGTAACAAATCTCATTCTAGGGATTGCTTTTACTTTGCTGTTCTTTATGCTGCTGGAATTGTGAATGAGTATGGCCCTGAGGGCGACAGTGCGTTAGATTGCATTTTTAATCTGCAATTGAATACTGAAAAGGATTCGAAAAGTAAGCATGCTGCTCTTGTTTATGGCCTAACTTCTGCTGTTGTTGGAGTTTTGATCATTTTTGTTCTGTTGGGAATGTGCTTTTGGTTTTACAAATGGAAAAAATTGACTAGGAAGTCTAGTTTAGAGTTTGATGCAGAGATGGATGAACCAGGGTCTAGGCCACATGCCAGGCCAAACACTGGATCAATTTGGTTCAAGATTCAGGAGCTAGACAAGGCAACTGATAATTTTTCTCCAAAAAACTTCATTGGGAGAGGTGGGTTTGGCTTAGTTTACAAAGGGACATTACCTGATGGAAGTGTGGTGGCAGTAAAGAAAGTAATTGAATCAGATTTTCAAGGCAATGCAGAGTTTTGCAATGAGGTTGAAATAATCAGTAATTTGAAGCATAGAAATCTTGTTCCACTTAGAGGGTGTTGTGTGATTGATGGGGATGACTGTTATGACGAGAGAGGAAGTGAGAGATACCTTGTTTACGATTACATGCCGAATGGAAATCTTGACGACCATTTGTTCCATACACTATTTGATCAAGTTGGAACTGTGAAGAAACGATTGACATGGCCTCAAAGGAAGAACATTATCTTGGATGTGGCAAAAGGCCTAGCTTATCTGCACTATGGGGTGAAACCCGCGATATATCACAGAGATATCAAGGCGACGAACATATTGCTAGATGCAGATATGAGAGCAAGAGTGGCAGATTTCGGGCTCGCCAAACAGAGCAGGGAAGGACAGTCTCATCTAACAACTAGAGTTGCAGGTACTCATGGGTATTTAGCCCCTGAATACGCACTTTACGGACAACTAACTGAGAAGAGCGATGTTTATAGTTTCGGGGTCGTTGTTTTGGAGATAATGTGTGGGAGAAAAGCTCTTGATTTCTCTTTGTCGTCATCCCCTCGTGCGTTCCTGATCACAGATTGGGCTTGGTCTTTGGTGAAAGCTGGAAAAATAGGGGAGACCCTTGATCCTTCTTTGGTGAAAGATGGAGGAGACTCATCTAATTCAAATCCTAAAGCAATCATGGAAAGATTTGTTGCAGTAGGAATTTTATGTTCTCATGTGATGGTGGCTTTACGGCCCACCATTTTGGACGCTCTGAAAATGTTGGAAGGTGACATAGAAGTTCCCCAAATTTCTGATCGGCCAGTGCCTTATGGGCATCCTTCAGTTTTTGGCGATGGCAGCAACTTCAGCATATCGCCCGCGTTGAGCGGGCCTCAATTGCATAGCGGCGACATGCTCAGGTGACAACAAGACCAAACACCTTCAGTATCAAACAACATGAAAGACATCAAACTCAATTAGGCGAAATCGTTCTGACAGTAGATTATGTTCCATGTAGCAACTCAAAATGAAGGCTGGAAATTGAGATAATCCGATGTAGTTCGTAAGCGTTTTCCAAGCCAGAAAGAAATGACATCTACTGCAAAATGGGAGTCTAATTGCAGAAGAGAACCTGAGAAATTGAAACAGGTGAGGCCAAAAACTTAAGACTACATACATTAAGAAATGGAATTATTGAGGAAAAACAGATGCCTCAGATTTTGAATCTCTCTCTTGAGTCTGTAAATAATGTATCATTAGGCATACTTTTRGTTCTTAAATGTTATTGATTTATAGAAAGTATAAAGATGCACAATTTTCCTGTCTCTCATTTTCCCTTTTCAATGGTAAGGGAAATTGGATATCTTCATCATAGTAAAGGTACTGATGCTATTGCTCTATATAGAAGCAATCAAGAAAACAAGTTTAAAAACAATAGGTTTTTTTTTTGGAGGATAAAAATAATAAGTAAAGGGCCTCATTTCTCAATTAATCAAGATAAACATTATTGTATTTAATAATTATTTTTAAAAAGTAGAAGCATTGATAACTATTTCTGATTTCTAATTTTCTAAAATTTTAAATAAAAAAAGTAAGTATTATATGAAAATTAAAATTCCTATATTTTTATGTTATATTTAATTTTTGATATTTATTATACATTTTATAAGTAAAAGACAATGCAATAATATTATTATCTATATTTTGAAAAAATTGAAATCAGGAACAAGAAATTTGACTTTTTTTGTTTCTAAAATWTCTACATATTTAAAAAAACAAAAATCTTAAAGATTGAAAAATGACTCAAAAATAAACTTTGTAAGGTGGCATGGGTGACAGATCTTTGTTTTGAGTGAGCTTTTTCAGGATGGATTTTGTATAAACTGCCATTAATAAAGCATTATGTGGTGCAACTGAAAATCATGAAGCAAAGTTTCAAACAAAAATAAACAAAGCATTCTTCTGTTGAAAACACCAACTTCCATAAGAGAATTCAAAGTGGGACTCCAATACATATCCTGATCATGATGAGCATAATAATTTGCCAATCCCACCAACAACAATGCTACTGATACAGAATTTCCACATAATTTCAATAAGATTTGTATTACATGAGATATGATGGCAAGATGGAAATTTCTAACCAAAGGTTTTCTAATGGAAATTATCAGAAGAAAATTCTCACAAATTTCAATGTAGAATAGTTAAGTCATTACTAAAATACAAAGCCAGCTGACGCCATGCATGTCTTGATCAAAATTGCCAACTTTTTCCATTAAGTTGGTTTTTTAAATACTAGAGAAGGGTTTGAGATAAAAGGATAAAATAACTCTTCCAAGAAAATTGGTGGGAGAATAATGTCATCACTGCATTATCAGCCTACTGAAGAATGGGTCAATCTGGTACCCAAGTTAATTCTAAGAAGGCTAACTAACTTGTGGTAGTAGGAGCTGCTGAATTGAAAAGCAGAATCCTCCCATCGATCTAATTTGGTAGAACTTAAATTATCTCATTAGGCCACATTAAATTATCATAACTCTGCCTTTGATTCCAGATCTTCATCACTAGACTTCTTAATCGCAGAATTGTCGACTTGATCGGTTAATATGTCGGGTGTTTTAGGATTTACATCACCTAATATTTTAGCTGTGAATGCTCTGGCCTCCAAATCAAGATCTGGCCATTCAGGGACGATTCGTTTGGCACCCTGAAAAATGCAGTTAAGTTAAATGATAGAAGCCGATGAAAAAGCATTTAAGGAAAAAAAAAGTGATTCTGATTCTTAAGATACAGAATGAGTTGAAGGAAGGGTACAGCAATCCGACCTGAAGCTTTGGTTCTTTGGTCATGGGGTTGTTACATAGATCAATGGTTTTCGCCTTGGATTTTGTGGCATTACCACACCATGACTCACACCAGAGCCACTCTTGTGGCAGAGAAAAAATAGGCACAGTATGCTGAGCGTAGTTCGGGAGATCCTGAAAACAAGCAAAATATAAGTCAGAGTTGCAAGTTTCATGTCAGCAAATTCAGATCATAATAACATTTTGGGTTTCCTCAAAACTCAAAAGTATGAACCTATGGTATATTCAGTGATCAAACCTACCAGGGAAATGTTTAAAGCTCAGAAAGGTTTCTTATATTGCAAGTCTTCGAATTTTTCTTATGATATTCCTTATAGTAAATGAGATGAAGTTATAAATTCAGAGCACTAATATGGAGTGGTGTAACGATATAGCAACATTCTCCAAAGAAATTGGCATATTGTTACTCTACATATACGCAGAATAATGGATTAGTTTGAACATTTCTACGGAGCTATTTGCAATTGCATAGTCATCTTTCCTATTCCTTGAGGTTAGGGTAAAGATAGTATACTGATAATATACGGACATGGGATATTGATTGTTGGCTCACAAACATGATCTCATGCTAAGGAGGTATCACATGGCACAATGGTGAATGGTAATGCACCACAAGATGAGGACAAAATAAGGCATCAAACGAGGTAAAGTTTACTTGCCTGATCCAAATTGGATAAACTATTTGGATCCTTGCTTAGAGATTCATAGAAAACTCTTAGATTATCTCCTGCTGCTGTTTCTCGAAATTTCTTTAAATCAACAACGTATAAAGCACTGTAGGAAATATAAAATAAAACATTAGTAGGTGCATCAAATTATTAGTAAATCCCAGCTATTTGGCAATTTTCATAAATTTATGAAATTAAACTTCTACGAGGAGGCCCTTAAAATGGCAGTCCATTGGCAAGGACTTGGAGTCTTTTGGTCACACCGGCTTGGGATCGCTTAGAGATCTCAAGTTCAAACCTTCAGATAAGTTTAATACCAAAAATCCTTAATATCTCTCAGGTACGGGCATTGGGGTGGGCGYAGGTGCCCGAGTCCCAAGATATACATAATTAGAGACTACAGCCACACAGCAAATGGAGGCAAACTTGAGTGTTTCAAGTTTCAACATAGCATGAATTTTAGTTGAAACTACATACCATGCTCAACAAGAAGAAAGCAATTACTGCTTTTTTCATAAGAGCATCTTCAGTCCTTTACTCGAATTAAACTAGGAGTTTCAAGCCAGTCAAACCAGCATTCTTTCAAGTCTTAATAATGTCACTCAATTAATAATACAAAATTTTTGAAGGGTAAAGGCTTAAATCAACTTACCAAACCAGCATTCTGTTAAAAAAAAWATATTATTAATACGATAATTAAACTTGAATAATAAAGTACGAAAGAAAGGATTACTACACCCAAATGATCTAGGCAAGAAGGCAAAAAAAGTGTGAAGCATGCTGAAATGAAAATGCAATATAAAAAGAGGGGGATGCTTTTTAAGAGATTGTTTGAAAAGGACATCCCGACCAAAAGTTATTAGGSCATTTCCTTCCTTGGTAAAAAGGAAATACAAAAATTCAGAAAGGTCATTTACAATTACTTTAGCGTTGAAAGTTCATAGGCATTTGATAGAGTCCAGAGCTCTATTATTTAAATAACAGAAGAGAATTACAGGTTGAGGGAGATTTCGAGAGCTCCCTATCCTCTCCCATACCACTCACAAGCAATAGCCAAAAAGATACCCCACCCTTCTAAACAGCAGATTATATAACCAACCCCACTATTCCCTACTCAATGTCAAAAATGCCCTCTAACTAACTCGGGCCCACAAATTCACTTTCCCTCTATTACCCTTCTTCCTCGCATATGTCCTAACGATCGGGGGTCTATCAACATTAAACCCAACTCTTATCCCAAGCCTCGTCAATCGTCCTAACTTCATAAAATAAGCAACTATTCAGGGTGGGGGAAGCAAAGATATAGAAGAACATCAAAAAATAGAGGGAGGCATAATTAGAGCCAAAGGTACCCCTACAGAGAGCAACGGGCAAAAGGTYAATTACTCTTTATGAACATAATGAGCACATAAGTTAGGGTCTAGGTATCACGGTTACGATCTTTTGAAGCTAGAACTTATATGGAAATRACATCAGTGAAATTCATGAATGTGGATGTGCATTTCAACTGGAAGTTCAATCGTCAATTCGACGTAACACAACAGCCTCTACCTTATATGGTATGCTTTTCCACGTAGATGTTCTTTCCAGAATCCCTGTCCATGAAAAGGGAAATAGTGAGTACATTGTGATACCAAAAAACAGGTTTATACAACTGATATCATCCAGATTGCACCAACAAAAAGCACTTTTGATGGTTCCCAATTTATTAACCAATCAATTACTGAAAATAATTGAATAATTTAGCTATGAGCTTCCAAACATCAAATTTATTGAATACCCAACTCCATTGCAGATCTAAATGTCTATAAATAGATTTCGAATATAATTTTGGACAGTATGCAACAAAAAGAGTATCAGTTAGATAAGAAACACAGAAAGAATATCAGTGGAGCTCTTGAACTCTTTTCGGTGGGAAAATGGAGAAGACAAGGTGGAATAGGCTTTAGAAGGTGAAAAACGTTTTACTACCAAATCCGCTTATCTTAAACTGTCCGAAGTAACCCTAAAGCTCAAAGCTCCCTTTATAACTAAGATTTGGAAGTTTAACTGTCCAAAAAAGGTGAAAATCTTCTTACAGAGTGTGGAATATAGGAGTCTCAACACTCAAGATAAGCTTCAGAAAAAATTACAGAATTGGATGATTTCTCCTTCAGGGTGCTCTCCCTGTCTTAGGGATGGGGAATCAATTGACCATCTTTTTCWTCATTGTTCCTTTGCAGCTAAAGATTGGTCCTTTTTGACGATGGAATGTGGCTTGGTTGGTTGTTTCCCTCATTTAATAGATGATTGGCTGCTAGAAATTATCCAAGGTGGTTCTTTGAAAGGACGAGCAAAATTTCTGTGGAGTTGTGCTAGTAGAGCGCTAATATGGAGTATTTGGAAGGAAAGGAATCAAAGAGTTTTCAACAAGTCCATCCCTTTTGATAATTTTTGTGAAAATGTACAAATTATAACAGCCTCTTGGTGCCTTACTAATAGGAGATTCTTTTGTAATTGTAATATAGCCTTATTCAGTTTATACCCGTACACCTAGAGGCACCAAAAATTGTATGACCTTCAAAATCATCACATGGCAGCATCGATATTACTAAAGTTTGAAGCCTTATTATAAACACATCGCAAGAAAAATACAGGTCCCTCAATCAGTTTTAACTAATCCGAGCCAACTTAACTTCATATAGACTCTTCTCCTAGAATAACTTGAAAACTTGGGAAAAAGGAAAAAAGAAAAATGATTTTTCTCTCATCATATCTTGTCCTCTTTCTTGAAAATTAGTGTATTGAGAACCAACATCCTTTTATCACATTTTCTTTCATACACCTAGAGGAACCAAAATATATTAGGAGGTCAAAAAAGTAAAGGGATACATGGAGGAACAGCAACTCAAGTATAAAATAAGTATAGAAATAAGAAAGAAAAATAGTTATTGATGACATAAAAGAAGATTGATATGTACTTGTCTCCAAAATCGATATCCATCCATATCCTTATTATTGTCACAAAAGGGGGTATATGCTAGTGGTTTTCCTTTAATATCCATGTCATAAAGCTCCCCCATGTCTGTACGGACAATCTGATCAGCATCAACAAAAATGACCTGCAGGTTTTTACAATCGAATTATAACATTTTTGGGTGGGTAAATAGGCAAGCAACAGGAGATTGAATCATAAATAAGTTGCAAGAAATCATGCTATTTTGGAGCATAACAATGACGTGGTACCTTCTCCAAAGAAAGAGGGAAGATAACATCAAGAAATAGAATCTTATATGCCCAAATAATTCTCTGCTTTTCTTTCTGCTTATGCAACCATGTTGGCCACTTGTACGTTATTAGTTCATAATCAAAACCATATTCTTCAGCCATGTGTGGAATTACATCCTGCATATGCAACAGAGAGCACAGGCATTAGGTGTCTAAACAATATTTTTCAAAAAAAAATTAAGCCATGAGTTGCACCTTAAACTGAGGGGATAAGTAGTTCTTTATAAACCAAAATTTCACYGGCCGACGTGTATTCTTTAGGACACTCAATATCATGATTTTCAGAAAGCGTTCATATCTGTCAAGAAATACCATCAGAACATGGACCATTTACAAAAGTTCATAGACTGCATAAAGTAATAACTATACATAAAATTTCACTGCACAAAAGAAATGATGAGATTTTTAAAATAATTATTAAAAAAAAAGTTGATAGCCAAAGATACAAACTTTTCATTATATGAAAATGAGAAAAAGTTCAAAGATACAAACTCCCGAAGGAGGGAGAGAAAACGAAAAAAGAACAAAACAGAAAACAGGCTCAATAAGGAGAGCGATACAAACAATATAAGAACAATGAAAGCCAACAATAAGATCATGCTCACTACTATCAAAACAAGTGAACAAGCAACAATAAGATCATGCCGCCAACAATAAGATCATGCAAATTACAAAAATCTGTTCAAATTCCATGTTAGTAAATTTGCATCTCTGCAATAAGAAATTGTGGTGTGCACAGCTTGATTATTACAGATTTCAACTGTTCCACCTATTGTTCTGCTGAATTGTTCACAATATTACATGCACATGACACTAGAAAGAGTCTATTGGCATTCAATATAGATACTCCTGATCAAGGAYAGACACTTCAAGATCAAACTAGTCATAATTTGTAATTCTCTTTTTTTGAGATTCCATATCCTTTTTTTCTTTTTGGCTCTTTATTGATGCAAAAATGAGCATCTCTTTTGTAATTACAACTTAAATTATCTCATATCCAATTGAAGAAATTTTTTATAATGATGTGGATGGATTCTCCCTTTTGTAACATTTCATATCATCAATGAAATTATTTCCTATGAAAAAAAAAATTGTAATTCTTTGATAATTCCTAAAAGTCACATTCACGGTTAGCTCGCATCAGTCAATTCTACACATTTTAGAAATGCCTAAAACCGAAAAGAAGCCAATCATACCTTCAGTTTTATGCCATAACTATATCTTTTGTTGATATTAATCATTTGCATATGAAGTCCGGGTTAGGGATTGTAGGGCTATGATGGAGGAGGTGCTTTTATAGCCCTCTTTTCGTGACAAGGGTCGTCTTTTGTGGCAGGCTTGCTTTCTAACTATGTTATAGAGTATTTGGCTAGAAAGGAATCATAGATTGTTTAGGGGGGTGGAAAAGTTTGTGGACTATGTTTGGGATATCGTTAGATTTAACACTTCATTATGGGGCTCGGTTTCTAAGCCATTTTGTAATTATACGCTAGGCCTTATTCTTTTGGATTAGAGTCCTTTTCTTTAAGGGGATTCCTCTTTCTGGGCCGTCTTTTATTGTAGAGCTTGTATCTTTTTCATTATTCTCAATGAAAGTGTTGTTTCTTATTAAAAAAAAAGAATAGGATAAAAGCAATTGACCCAAATATAATTTGCACCATAAAAAAGGAACTGATAATATCACCAGTGACATCATCATACTTACAGATGTCCAGAAGCAATGGAGAAAATATTTATTGTCTTTCCATGGCGCCCTCCTTTTCCTTGCTCCTACAAAGAATGAGTCAAGATTATTATTATATTTTTTTTTATTGAACAAGATACGAACTTTTCATTAAAAGTATAAAAAGGAACAAAAATTGTTCAAAGATACAAACTCCCGAAGGAGCGAGAGAGAAAAACTAAAAGAGACAAGCTTCCTAAAGAGAGTACTTAAAGCGAACAAGAATTGAAMGGGAGCAATTGGTCCAACCAGAATTGTAAGGATTATGCAAGCAGATCCACCATAGGGCTGTATAAAAAAAAAACCAGTAACCTGAATAACCCAAGCAACCCAACCCAAACCACGAGGATTGGATTGGGTTAGGTAAGTTGTATTTTTAAAAACCGATCGGTTCAGTTTGGTTTGCAGAGAAGTAAAGTTCGGTTAGCCAAAGAGGCAGATAAGAGAGGAAGGGAGGAGAGGAAGAAAGAAAAAAATGAAAGGGAAAAAGGGATAATAGAGAGAAAAATGATAAATAATAGATAATTATTATATTTTATATTCTAAAATGTAAGCATTGAGAAAACCAGCGCCAAACAGCATGCTTTTGCAGACTACACTCTGCCATCCAATCAGTCCATCATAGCTGTTTTTGTTATCTGACCACCAAACAATCAACTGGTTGGTTTTTAAATGTATAAAACCAACCCCAACTGAACCAGTAGTCAAACCAACAGCCCAACGTCGGTACAGTCGGTTGGGTAAGTTTCTCTAATATTTCAAAAAACCTATTGGAGGAATATTGGACATCCTCCCCAAGGGAAAAAAAAAACCAAAAAAAAGCATACCAATTAGCATTAAATAAAAATAGGAGACCTGAAAACAGAGACTCCATCTTGAACTTTACATCAATAGCTCAAAGTTCAAAAATTAAAATGTAAGGTCAAAGTCCGAATGTTAATTTACATCAACAGAAGACGATGGTTAAGAAATCAGTTGAACACTCACCATGGCCGTGCTTTTAGTCTGTTTCGATTGATCATTGCTTCCAATCAAACCAGTAGCCCATTTCAAAAAATTAGAGTTCCAATAATTATAGCCCACCTGCATAAATTCAAAAACAGCCATAAGTCTAGCATTGGAAATCTATAATGCACCAGAAACTTTATTCACCAACACAAAGTAAAAAACAATACTAACTCCTAACAATGATCACCCACTTTATTATTCTCGAGCAAGTTGTCACCACCATCAGGAACCAACAATTTCTCATGCTCCTTTCCCTTTTTCTTCTCTACTTCCATGTGAACGACTTTACCCCGCAAATCATCAATAATGATACGTTTTGACAATGGTTTATCCTGACTTATACCCCCATCTTGCTTTAGAAGATAAAGTTCAGAACTTCTACCAGGAGCAAGTTGCAGGTGCCAAACTCCAGGAGAGACTTTCATTTGCCAATAGCCCAAATTTGACATTACAAGAGTGTCAACCAAATGCAGTGTGCTCTTCGTACCAAGAATCAACTGCAGTCCTCGGGGAGGTTCATGGTTTTTCTCTGAACAATGGCCTGTAAATAAACAAGTCGATACATGTGGTAATTCAATAACTGAACCTTATTATTTCAGATTTAGTTACATCTACGTTTCACCTCATATGTTAAAGCAATAGCATACCAGTAAGAACAAGTGCTTCAAGTTCAAACACTGCTTGCAGCGTCCTTATGTCCCCAATATTCTCAAGCAAGATATTATCCAGGTCATGACTGAAATTTGCAAGGTGATGCAAGAAACAACGGGATTGAAATCAAAAGGATTATAATATTGTTCAATGACATTAACCATTCGAACTTATATAATTAAAAAATGAGAATATACGGGTACTGGATAAACATACACAGCAATAACAGGCTCAACAAGCCATGGCTCTGGAACATCAAGATTCATTGTTAATGTTTTGGACAATGGCATATTTGCAAAGAATGCTTTGGGACCATTTACAGTTACATCTGTAGTGCTGAAATCATCCTGAAATTATCACGAGCAACTCAGACACCAACAATGGGGGAAAAACTTGTTTTGATATAAACCAAAGGTCTTAATTAATAATTACCACTGATGGCAGAACATAGCGGTAGTAATTCTTCAGAGGTAAATCAACAAGCGAACTCTGTCATAGAGAAAAAAAGTCATTTCCTCCTCAAGAAAATTAATGAAGATCAAAGAACTGTATCCTTTGTATTTGATAAAATAGGCACGCTTAACACCCTCTATATATGAACTGTAGGAGGCTTAGAACAGCTCACCAGCGGATTTAATATAATCCTCATGCTAGGTTGTACGTATTTTGACAAAACTCGAAGAATTGATGATAGCTTCTGGCCAGACGGGCTTAGTGGATCAATAACAGCATCGATATGGATGCTTGAATTGTCGTTACCTACCACAATGGCACTGTGCAAAGTGAAAATAGGGAAAAGTGAGGGCTAGGGAGGCCAAAAATTTGGAATCTTGAACTGTATAGCATAACCACAGACATAGAAAGTTAATTGCAATGATGAGATTTTTCATGATAATTTCGTACATCATTACAAGGATTACTTGTCTTCGTACTAATGAAATTCAAAAAAAGGATACTTCATAAAATAAGGATTGAAATCCTTGCCTATATTCTGCATTCAAAACCTCAAAACGTGCACTTTCGGAACTTCGCTCCCGCCGAGCCATTGAGGATGAAACAAACATAATAACATCACTGATGAAGTTGCTGCAGTAGTGTGTAGACAATCATGAACAGTTCATAAAAGTGAAAAAGAAGAACACTAAATAATTACAAGTACTAAAGAATGAGACTTGTGAAGTACRGTATATTAATATAAAAAAACGAAATGATTAAATGTGTAACAGTACAAAAGATATATGGATAGAGACAGATTTGACAATGTCCAAATCTCTCAGGAGAATTGTACTTGCTTTAGGTCAAAGAACGGTTATATAGAATCTAGTCATTTGCTTCTATTCATTTTAGATTGTATTTTCTGCATAGTGCTTGGGGAAAACACACATAAATAAGATTCCTCACTGATGATTCAATGACCAAAAATCAAGGAAAAAAAGTGTTACTTGTATAATAGTTAATGGAACAAAAAAAGGAGAGTAAGAGCACAACACAGATAGTACAGCTATACTTTCYTGCCACATGCCATAACATCCTCTAAGAGAGGTGGGAATAATGCTAGCATTCCCAAATTAATCAATCTCCATCCCAGATATTATAGTAAAGCAAGCAAAGAGATTGACTTCAGTTGATTCTATCACAGAAATTTCAAGCAGATAGCTTTTTGAGGTTTGAGGAAAGCAAATATTAAAGATCGACTCAAGCGTAGACAGTAAATAACCATGAACTCCCTATTCAATCAAAGAGAGATAAGATGCCTCCATACACACTCACATTGCTGCATGTTATGGTCAACACTCTTTAGGTAATTTTTTTTTTAAACGAGAAACGAACTTTTCGTTGATATATGAAAAGAGAGTAAATGCTGAAGGAAACAAACTCCCAAAGAGAGCAAAAAAGAAACAGAAAAAAAAAAACCAGTGAAAATCCAAAAAGATACAAAATGATAAAATGAAGAATACAACATCTAAAGACTGGACAAAACAGTACTCCAAAGACTGAATCACTTTCTTAGGTACTGTTGAAATAATGAAAACCAAAGTAAAGTACTTAACCCTGTACTTTAAAAACAAAGGCACGTGTCCTCATTACAACTATTTTGTTTTTTTTTTTGAAGAACAATAAATAAATAATTAAAGAGTGAGCACAGGGGGGAGGGGGGAAGTAACCTCGTTAATGTGTCGGGATCAAAATCATCCCAGTTCACTTCTTCAACAATTTCCACAATATGTTTTATTCTCCGCTTAAACTCAACTGCTTCCAGTAGATGTAGGTCGTGGCTCAAAAATGAGCTCTCATCAGTAAGAAGTGTAACCTATACGTGAATGAGAAATGAATGATTTAAATTTTCCCCAAATCCAGCTATATATATATTTCTAGCAAATTGTAGTCAAATTTACAGAACTCAAACCAAAGTGAGAAAGCTGAAAAGGACTCACTCTTCCGTTAGTAATAACTGCATTAACATTAGCTTCAAGGCCAAGCTGCCCTGACAGAAGTTCCACCTGAAAACCATTATGCATACAAAATATGACATTTTACTATGGGACAATTTTAGTTCGAGCAAGTAAATTGACATGTAATATTTGGATAGAACCCACAAGTAACGAAGAAAAATAGAACAGAAGCAAATTATCTTGGAAGTAGTTTATCTTATCAGAAAGCCCCAACTGGAAAAGGTGACTGTTTTTTAAAAGAAAGAGAAGGGGGGAGAGAGAGGGAGAGAGAGAGGAATCACTTTGATTCAGGAATTAACTATACAATTCAACAAAAAGTGTTATACCTGACCCAAATACTTTCTCATTTCATCAACAAAAGAATCAGAGAAAGCTATTCTGTATGCTTTAGGTGGTAACTCGTTAGCTTCAGCAAGCTTACATGCTTCCTCAATAAATTCTTGAGGGCTATCAACTGTTACCGAAGATTCAAAGATGAACTTTTGACTATATATTGAGCACAACTGGTCCAGAAAATCTAATACTTTCTTTTTGTGGCTGCAAAAAAAATATGCAAAGAAAAGAAAAATAAGCTAACACAAGCATATCCCCCAGTGCCAAAAAGAAAAGGCAGAAAAAGACCACCACAGTAATAAACTGAAACAAACCTATGCAATGATGCACTAATCTCAAAAACCTTGACCAAAAGTAAACTGGATTCACTGGTATGGTTGCTAGCAGTAAAAAGGAACCCAACACGAGCGCTTTTAGATCCTCTCATCTGCATCCCAACATTACAATTTTAATAAAGAAAACATTTTAAATTGATAAAATTTGAAACAATAAATTCAAGTTTAAATAGTTTATCAGATAAAAATAAAAGATATTCATCATGCAGGCAACAAATTAGATTTTTGTCAAACGCAATAACCAGATAGTGCAAGCCTTCTTCCAGCAACTTTATTCCTTTCTTTGAAGCAACATCGATGACCAAGAGATGGGTCACAGGCTTCAAATCGTCCATAGCTGATCAATAAAAATGGAATCTCCTGAATTAGTACTCTCAAAGTTAAAAATTCTATCAACTGGATAATTATTTGATAATAAGAAATGAAATACGTTGAAAGAGAAGAGAGAACGTAATTCTCACTTCCAGGGGAATGCAGATAGTTAAAGCCGTTCAATAAAGACTCCCCTCCATGAGTGGATGCAAACATAGAAATAAAACGTGGTTTCCCTTCAGCAACAATCTACATTAAAATGGACATAATTATAGAACAAGTCCAATGAGATGGATTAAACACAAAAAACCCAGATTCAACGATAGTAGAGCATTTTCTCAATAGTTCACCTGAGGATTATAGCGACTAATGCCACTGTCTGATAAGAATTTTTCCAGCACATTAGTGCGAGAAGATATATGCCCATAATAAACTTGTTCCTGTATTCGAGGAAGCTCTTCGTTCATGGCATTTATTAGAGACTCCTGATCAACATAAATACAAAAAAATTATGGACTAGTCAAGCCAACCATCATTCACTAAATGCAATTACTCAATTTAGAAACTAATAAAGTTAAGCCAACTAGCAGAAACAAATGGTTATGTATTTGCATCAGCATGCAGTAGAATAACTTCATAAAATGTTCGACAAAGTCTAAGAGAACTGAAAAAAACAGCAACTTCCAAATAAAAGCATACCAACTTTGTATGGGCAGAATATTCACCAAGGACACATATATTTTAACTTTCAAAAAATTACCTCACTGGAATCAAATACAAGCCCATTCATCAAGAGGGAACACTCCAATTTTGATAAGCCAAGAGAAAAAATAAACATGGAACCCTCGTCAGCCAGATCTTTAAAAGTTTGCTCCTTCTCTAGCTTTAGTAGCACATCTTGAGGATGAGATTTTGACTTAGGTCTATGAAAACAGAGAGAATTCAATTATTCTAAATTAACGGGCGTAAAAGTAATAGATTTTGAAACTAGTAACCATAATAAAATATAATACGTGATATTGGCATTAACATCCATTTAACATAATTCAACATAACAAACACTACTCAGTGAACTTACAAAAGAGTGTCGACAAAAGCTCCTTCAACATGATGCATTTCAGGAGCATCATCAGCTAAACCATCTGCTTCAATCCGTAATTTGTTTACCTGATTCAACTCAACAATTTCAGCAAAACAACCTTGTGTCTGAAGGCTTCCAGCACAGGATGCAATCCAGAATAGAGAATATATACCAAAACCTGGAAAGTTGTGCTATGATAACTAGTATCCTGGACTTARTTATTAGGAAGGAAGTTTAAAAACATATGGATCGAAGACATCTGAGAATAAGCTTGACGTACAATTAATAGCATTACTACGAATGTGTAATTTTAGTATCTTTTCTTCCTATAGTTATGTAACCTTTTTTTTAATAGTCTCAACGATCTATTGACAAACTGAAAGGTCTTTTTGTAATCTAGCTCATGGGATATCTTTTGTATATTTCGTACCATCAATGAAATATTAGTTTCTTACTAAAAAAGAGCTAAGTAACTCCTTTTTAGATAAAGATAAGAGACCGTTTATTGCCGTGAGTGAAAAAAAAAAAACCATTAGATCTTTTTAATATTGAAAAGGAAAAAAGAAATTCAAAAAGTACTTAAAGGGGGGGGGCAGAAAAGAAAAACTGAGCATATAGAAGTAGAAGTAATTCAAAAAGGTTTAGACTTAAATAGAGAAATAGTATCCAAGATAAGGGTTGTAGATTTTTATTAGCAAWTCTATRTTAATCAAGGATGCTAGTGACAAAATGAACTTCATACTGSTGAATCTMCATTTAGAAATTTGAATACAAGCCTAACTAAAGACCTCTAAGGTAGAACTCAGAAGAGAGGACACTGGATACAATGAAACGTCATGCTAATCCAGGCAAAAAAAAATTGCACAAATTTTCACATAAGGCAAAGTAGCCACTACTCTGACTTTGGACTTCCAAAAGGTGAAAGGTCTATATCCAATAAAGGTAGTTTYCCCCTCTGCAAATGGCCTTTGAAAGAAGGTACTAACACACACGACTAGATATGCCCACTTGTGATAAGAGATTTTTAGATAAGAAAACATATCATTAGGAAACATACATATGTTCGAATAAACAACCAAGGGCAATTACTGAAAGCTCTCCAATTGGCATGAACCAAAAAAGAACAATGTTGAGTAGTGTATAGTTAGCTGACTAAGAAGATGCCAACCAACAAGACGAAATGATGTAAACAAAGCTGCAGAACATACATTGCTCAAAAACTGAAAGGCTGTTAGAATTCCATGGTTCTCCTTAAAATAAATGAACAGCTGTATAACCTGCAAAAACAGACAATCATCATCATAACCAGTATCATTCCTAATACTGTAATGTCAATAGCTCAACATTGTGATAATTGATAAGGAGAAACCTAGATGATATTGTTGACATTGTTAATCGTGTACAGTAGATAACAAATTGCATGCTTAAACCGCTAAAAGATAAAATAAAATATAAATAAGTTACCAAACTGGATGTATCTTCCTCAGATTTAGTTAATCCATCATCACCCCTTTCAGTTTCCTTGATAAATTTTGAAGAGTACAGTAAGACCCCAAATCTAATAGGAAAATGGTTCTCGTACAATGACAGGATCATGTCAATTGTCTGCATGTTTGGATTTTAATTAAAGAAAAGTTAATGATCAGCAGCAACGTCTTGCCAAACAAGGAAACTGTATGCAGGAAAAACAAGGACCTGTAGACCACAGGCTGTTGCCGGATCAAGAACATAAACAGCATGAAATAGGTTTTTGCGGATGTAACGAAGTTGTCCAGGAAAGACTGGCATCAAAATCTACAGAGATTCAAATATGTACTTAGAGATTTAAGAATGAAACAAAATTAATCATYCATCAAGGCATTGAAAATAAGAATGTGATCCGTTATTAAAGTACCTCATTGATGTTGCTCCGCCATCGCTTATACATAGCATCTTCTTCCAAGTTATTGAGGAAATGCACATGAGAAGAACGAAAGTCCACACGAAGCATGTCAGAATCAGCAGGAGGCAAACTTGACAGAAGCTTCCGGATGCTGTGATGAGGAATCTGATTGTTGGCAACGGCAATTTGTTAAATACAAAAACAACATCAACTAAGTCATAACAATCTTAACCTTAGGTGTTTAGACTCTTGAAACTTGAGTAATAGAAACGTCCCCATAAATAATACCACTTCAGCTAGGAAATTTAAAAATTAAAAGTTCATACATATTTAGATAATCCATTAGCTATATCTTCTTTTGTGAGCTATGGACTTTCATCCCATTGACATTTCCTTAAATTGAGATGATTTTATTTTTCCTGCTTAATTTTCTTCTCTTTTTTCTTGTATTTTTCATTTTTTTACCTTGATTACTTTTGTTTCTTTTCATTATTTCAATGAAAGGTTTCGTCTCTTGTTAAAAATTATAAACATCTATTCTTATCAAGAAAAGATATTGAAAGAATTCTTATCAATAATAGATGATGGATAAAGGATGAAAATTGCAAAACACAAGATAAATCCTTCTTTTTTTTTTTTTTTTTTTTGCCATCTCCGAGAACAGGTATGTGAACAGAGTTCTCCAAACTCTGTGGAAGCCTTCCTCAAAAACCCCTTCACCACTTTTCTAGTGGATGCTGCACGAATCTTTGCAGTTGTGATGTAAGGAGGATAGCAGATGAGTAAGCACAATTTCTTGAACCATGTTAGTTGAAGGTGCGTTCAGAAGCTCCACTTTCACCAAGGAAAAAACCTATATACTTATCTCTTACGTTCTTTTATGGGTAAGAAATAGATATTTGATGATAAATGTACAAAGTGCCCCAATAACTCGATTACAAAAAGGCTTCCARTTTGTGAAGAGATCAAAAATGCCTTCCAATTATCTCTAACGGCTAACCTTAATATCATTTTTTTTTAGTACAACATGTGTGGGTGGGGAATCGAACTCACAACCTCTTGGTTCAAGATATATGCTAATTACCGCTGAACTATACTCACCGCTTTGGCAATATAATTGTTTTTCTTGAACAAGAAACAAAATTTTCATTGATAAATGAAAATAATCAACCTTAATATAAGCTTCCATCATTTCTAAAAGTTAACGCTCTAATGGTTCTCATAGCACACTCAACGAATCTCCTGTATTCTTTCCCAATCAATCTAACGTTCTCCAAATTCCACATGCTAAGGGGAGGAATCTCCTTGTCACAACAACCATAATCTCTCAGTGCCATCAACTTCACAGCATTAACCATTCACCTTCAAAGGTGGTAGAGTCATACTGCTTTTGTGGTTTTAAAAAAGTCTTGTTTCCTTCGGAAAAAAAATCCATGTTTCTCATTACATCGCAAAGGAAGTCATAAAGGCAGAATGAAATGAATTGATGAAAAGAGCCAGTAAAGAAGGGTGGTTCCTTTAGAGTTTAGAGAGCTCAACAAAGAGGGATTTGATCGAAAACCATCCACTTTTCTCAAGATTCCAAACTTGTTGGTCCTCCACATTAACATTATAGAGGTGGAGAGAGTTTAACGAGGCCATAAACTCATTCCACTCATTAGTCTCCAATCCAGCAATTGTCTAGGATGGTGATTAGAAAATTAGTAAAAATTTTCCTGGAGGTTTAGTTTTTCAAGGTTTGGTACATTACTCCTTTTCCAAGTTTTTTGAACCCATTAGCAACTAATCATTGCACCTACTTTCAAAAAACTTGTTAACAATTGCAAAGGAATGGAGCAGGAAAGAGAAAGAAAGAGAAATAGCTAATCCTTGTAAATTATTGGAAATGATAACAACACAAATTCTATAAGTTGCACACCGGATTGTCTCTAAAGGCACNAGTTTTTTCATTTCATTCACAGGAACTTATAGAATTTTCAAATAATTAGTATAATTATAAATATAATTAGTAAAATAATTTTTCTTTAATGAGGTTGAAATTATATAAAAAGAAAGGACTAAATGAGGCAAAAAGTATTTTTTTTAAAAATTAAAATTTAAAAATATCTATATATTTTTAATTGTTATATTAAAAATAATGTCATTACAAATATTGTATGAAATTATGTATATGAGGTGAATGTAATCTGAAAAATTAGAATGTAAAAAGTTTTGTATTCATTTACGTAAATTAATTGTATAATTAAATATTTATACATAACGATATTTAGTTGTAGAATAGGAATATTTTGGAACGTTAAAAAGGTTTATAATTTTTTAGTTCCCTCCCACTATAATTTCGTATCTTCAATTCATTTTCATTAATTGTAAATAATAAAATAGATTTAACATCTCTAAATTTAAAGCACATGCTAACATTGTTTTCAAACAAGTTGTGCATATTATATTATAATAACATTGACTTCATTTGAAATTTATYCCAAATTATTGAAACTCGCTTGTGAATCCGTAAATTTCTTCGAACTCGCCGAGTTTTGTATGATTCTCGGACAAGTTTTCTTTGAACTCGCTCGAGTTTTACATGAATCTTCGACGTATTTTCTTCGAACTCGTTCGAATTTTGCCTGAATCTTGAACGAATTTGTACAAGTCTCAATTTATGAATGTTTAGCAAGATTTATACTCGGGTGAGATTTAAGCTCATGGTCATTGGTCATAACCCAAATTAAAAAAAATCAAGGTACGGAGATTTATGCAATATGATTCTAAGTCCCAGATAATAATAAAAATAAATAATGAGAATGAGAAGGGGCATAAGTTTTCTGGGCCCAAATAAAAAGGCCAATGCCCATAGTAATTTAAAAAAAAACAAATAAATGATAAAAACCTAATACCCACCCACGATAACAAAAACACACCACCTCTCTCCCACAAAGCTGACACCACTGCACGCGTTCTTTGCCGCCGCTCGCCCTTGCTGCCGCCACCGACGCCCCTGCCTCTGTTTTTCTTTTTTTTCTTAGGTAAACTCTAATAAAAACAATCTTCTTTTACGTCCCTTCCTTCTTTGTGTCACTGTATTGGTCCTTTAGAACTTTGTTTTGTAACTTTTGTTGAAGGATATAATTGAATTCATAACTTTTGTTGAAGGATATAATTGAATTCATATTTATGCATTTTATTGTATTTAGTATTTTTTGTGTTAAATTTACACATATCCTAAAAACATATTTWAAAAAAAAACGTATCCCCAATGTTCCATGTCCTAATTTTTTAGGAATTGACGTATCGCCGTGTCCTATCGTGTCCGTGCTTCTTAGGTTTAGAGCCAACCCTCCATAACTCTATCCCTAAACTATAGAGGAACATTCCAGAGGTCAGAAGAGGCAATATTAAGCTAAATGATGGACGGGAGGGTATGAGAACCTATATGGTCAAGTCTGCCTCCTGCTGTCTATCTGACAACCAAAGGGTAAGGGATTGAAATGGGGGAATACTACTCATCGAGATGGGAAAGTGACCCCCATATGGTCATGGTCACCCTAGAAGCCCAGCAGTTTCATAACAAATGCATCACTCACAAGAAACCAAAATATATTGATGTAAGAACAAGAATCTATCTCAAAAGAACAAAAGAACAAGAATCTATTAAAGCAGTTATCTCAAAAGTATGGTTTGAATGCAATCAAAGGATTTTTAAAGACAAATTCAAGTCTTGGAATGAGCAATATGAATTATCCAAGTTCCAAGATTCTTATTGGTGTTCCTTATCTAAAATCTTTGGCAACTACTATATTTTTTATATTTGTTACAATTGGGATCCATTAATTTCTGCAATTTAGTTTATTTTGTTTTATTCTTTCACTCCTTTTGAAGTTTGTTTTTTGAACATTTATTGTATCATTTAATTATTCAAATGAAGAGTTTGTTTCCTGTTAAGAAAAACAAAAGTTTTCCATTGTATAGGTCCAGAAATATCTTTCCATGTAACTGCAGAGAGAACTAAATCCTTTACCTTCAGTTTAGTAAATTGATCAGCCAACAGTAAATCCTGATGGATCACGTCAATCAACCTATAAAAGAGTGCCATCGAAGTTAAAAGACCCGAGCGATTTACACTAAGAACAAAAACATATTGGTGAATAGTGAATGGAACCTAACTAATGATTATGACAGGATGACATTACCTCTATGTAAAACGTAAATAACATTCCCTACTTAACCGATAAATGCATATGCATGATCTGCTAAATTTAAAATACAGAGCAAAAGAGATCATTACCCTATGTAACATAGAATAATAAATCATTATGTCCACCAATATTTATTTTTGTCCATATTTTCAATAAATAAATAAAAGTTTGGACACTTTGATTCAATCATTATGTTCACAAGCGTCCAACACATATTTATTGTACTTAACAAGTGCTAAGCACGTGTCCAGTAAGTGCCTGATACATATTCAATTTGTTTAAGAAGTTTTCAACCSATGCCAACATGAGCAACTGGTTAAGGTATATATCCTTGACCAAAAGATCGGAGGTTTGAATTCTATCATTGAACTAAAAAATAAAAATAAAAATAATAAAAAATAAAGTATTCAACCCATATTTATTTTACTTRAGTGTGTTGTACATGTTCAATAAATCATGTGTATACGTTACCTAAACTTAAGTACTTGTATTTAATAGGTTTTCAATTTAAGATATATAAATAAGTAAACTAAACAAAGAGAAAATAATATATTTCCTCCTTATGTTAAAAAATGATATAAAAACAGTTTAAAAAAAAAACAATGTTTGGTAATATCCCAAACAGCCAAGCTATCCTGGCCCGTGATCACAAAAAACCTAAGGAAAAGAAATTTTGCATAATCCTTAATCATTATTTTTCCATGAAATTAGAGAAATAAAATGAATCCAGTCAGTAAATAGTTTTGAACTAAAAAAATTCTTTCACTTTTCTTAATAAGATACCTGCAAGTTTATTATAATACTTATAAACTACATCTTTTTGGATAAATCAAATGATTGGAATTAGCATCAACCTTAGAGAAACAAGAAAGGGAGCAAAGATGAATTTGACTAGTATTAAAAATTTAAAATGATAAATTGCAAAAAGTAAGAATCTGCAACTGCAGGTAAACTAAAAATGATATTGATGCGTATTCTAAAATGTTCATAAGTGAAAGAAAGAGATATATTAAGGGGAGCATAAGCATTACAGATAGAGGTCAACATCTTCAATATTGATTAAAGCACCATTCAGAGCCATTAAGGACTTGCCAGATGGAATCATACGTTGATTGGCAGTGATTTCATCTTTAACTGAATCATTGAGCTGCAAAAATCAATCAGCAGAAAAACCAATAATATTTATAGCAAAGATATTTGATGTGATAAGGTTGCTTCATGCTGGGCACCATATAGAGCATTTACCTTCATGCGAGATAAGGAAGAGACTATGCTRGGAAAGTTTTGACTTATTTCCTGCATTGACTGCAAAGGATCAGAGGCCTGTACTATTCTCTGTGCAGTTTGATGTCCCAAGTCTGCCAAGAAGAAACCAATTAAATAGGCTTTGGAACACGGACACCAAGAGGATAACACATGGCAAACTTCAAAGCCCAATTACCCTTCAGTTCCCACACATTAAGCGTGTCTGAAACAGTTGATGACAGTAGATAATCCCTAAAGGCCATGATCTCAGATGTTAGCTCTGGTTTACGTTCCTACAAGTTGAASGAACAAATCTTTTCAACCTTGGTTGCATGAGCCATAAGGTCTACCTGGCTAAGAGAAACCACTAGCATTCTAACAGCACAATTAGAGGAACAATGTTGAAACAGATTAAGTTATTCCAGGAACAATGGTTTTTTCTTTTTTTTTCACTCTATTTTTCCTTTTTTTTGGATAAGTAACATCATATTTAAGAGAATAAATAAGGCTTTCATTATGAAAAAAAAAAAGAAAAAAAAGGAACTGTAGCTACAGTGCACCTGCAGCCAAAGAACAGACCAAATAGACCCCATGAAAACACATTCCAGGAGGTATAATTGAGAGCATAAGTTTTTCCTTCAATGAAGTGCACCTAGTACTTCAATTTTTCAGTTTGAAAGAAAGCCAAAATCTTCAAAAATTATGGCATCCATATGAAGTCAGGTGAGAACAGAGTCACCTGCTTCGTAGCTCAAAGGGCAATCCAGTTGGCCATTCATAAATTACAATAATAAGAACAGTACAAATGAAAACCGCTTCAATGATCATAAATGATTGGAGGGCTATTACTCATTAGTTTCTGAGGCAGTGGTTTCCTCTATGCCGGCCTTTAGGCTGTTTTCAGAGTCGTTTTGTTAATATATATATATATCTCTTTTGACTCTTATCAAAAAAAGGAAAACCCACTCGATTTTGGAAATGGGCCTAATAATTGTAGGAAATGTGCCCATTAAATAATAATAGAAAATATAACCATTAAAAGATACTGCTAGGCCGTCCAAACCATTGCTCGGTATAATATGATAATAGAAATCTAAATAAAAAGAGTAAGCAACTTGAAGGAAAACACACCAAAATCTTGGAAAATATGAAGCCTCTAACTTCTTGGCTAAGATCTTCAGTCCGAGGATCTTCCAAAGTGACACCTGCAATCCACACGGCTATTATAAGGCATCTTAACCCAAAAAAAATCTTAATAAAAAATTAACTAGTAATGGAATAAAGAAGTTGAATGTCTACTTCTCCCCAACTGAAATGTAGTAAATCTTACATAATCCATCTATATTCCTTTTTTCCAAGTAAATTGAGACCTTGAATTAAGATAGAACGCAAAAATGTTAATCAAACTATGCCAAAAGACCTAGCACCAAGGAGGTTACAAAAAAAGAACTCCAATTGATGAAAAGCTGTAAGCTAGTGTAATTACAAAATTATTTAGAGGGAATACTCCATTTGGAGCTAAATCTTATCGAGAAATTAAAAAWWTTTTTGATAAGAAACAATTTCATTGATACAAAAAGAGAAAACTCATCCAATGAAGTTATGCGCAAGATAGTTAGTTATTCTCATTAGCATRTCTCCAAAGCGATTGGGAAACAAGAGCCTCGCTTTGAATTATGAAATTGCCAATCCCATCCTTTATCAATGGGAAGCTTGACCAAGTTCCTGTCAACCAGTTGCTGCTTTTAGCTATGGAATAATTGTGCCATGAAAATCAAAATTCTCTAAATAGTTTTTTGTTTTTCCAGATGTTTAGCCAAAACCATGGGATCTCAAAGACACTAGATAGATATATTGTAAGTCCTAGTGCTTGAGCCCTACGATGGCTGCTTTGAAGAGATTAGCCCTCATCCCAAGATTTTTTTGAAAAAGATCCTCGATGGAATGAAAGTACCATCTGCAAATGGGAGATGATTAATGTGGAGCCCATTTGTTGGGAGTATAAATGCCTTTAACAAGCCCATATAATCATAAGCTCTATGGAGAACCCTACCTAAAGAATCAGCAACCATGGTAAAAAAAGCACACACACGCATGAAAAGAGGTCACATTGCAGAAGAGCCTTGAAGGAAGAATGTTGAGGCACATATTATCAAACAAGTAAGGGCACCGGCATACTAGACGACCAAGCCACCAGGGGTAGGTCAGTCAACCAACGTAATCCTTTTTTTTCTATTTGGATGAGAAACACTTTCATTAAAAACTCAAAACCAAAGCACAGACTAAGGGCAGAGGGTCAACCAACGTAATCCTAGGGCACAATTGCTCAACTTCCCTGAGAAGGTGTATCCACACTTTGTACAAAAGATATCTATCAAGCTACAAACAACCGACCAACACAGTATTCTATAAATATATTAGAGGCTTCCATAGAAGAAGTAAACCTACACCCACATTATCTAATGGAAATCTAGTCACGTAAAAATCCCCACAACCCCCCAATACTACCCAGCTCCCCCCAAAAGGAAGCCCTTCCCCTATATGCATATTCTAAATATTGCACTATAATCTGATACTCAAAACAGGATCTAACAAGAAGCACAGAAATATTTGACTTACTGCTACCCTTGAATGCTTGTAATTCTTGTTTTATTGCCAAATAGAATGTATACTGAAAATTTATGAATGTCCCAAATTTCGAACACCAAAATACCAAATAAAACATGTTTTATAGAAGAAGTATCTATAGAGTAGAGACTTCACACCTACGTGTTGTACTTTTTATTCATAGTTAATTATGAGTTCTGAATCATATAAAAACAAAATCATGTCAAAACTCAAAAGTACACAATTCAAAGACAGCATTTGCCAGCTTCAGTCAAGCCCGATAAACTTCTGTGCAAGGCTGTCTCACCATGTAAAATAACTTGGAACAAAGTGAGAAACTGAACTGACCTTTCTTTATCGCACTATCATCCATAGCCTTATATTCCATGTTCTTCAGAGCAAGTTCTACCCCATAACCACCCAAATTCAAGGAACCTCTTGTACCAACAGCTCCACAGGAATTCATTTTTAATTCGCAGCCCGAAGGTATTACAGGTCGAACAACATACTTAACTTTTCCCTAAAAATTTAATCACAAAGCATACAGTAATACATATTAGAAGAAAAAAACGACATAATAGATGAAGAACCAATTTAAAGCCAGACTCGGCTCAAAAGGATAGGAATAATTCAGCAAGAAGATATCTATAGAAACCTGGCAACGTTTCCTGCTTGTGTAGCTATCTAAAATTATTTCGCACTTCACACGACAAGTTGATTTTAAACATAAAAGATGACGTCCCCCAAAAAATCATTTCAACCCAGTGGAATTCAAGTATGAAATTATATTTTAAACTTTAAGGTCAAAAGAAATCTCGTTCCACTTCCACAAACTATAGATAGGTTTTAATTGTCCTTGATTTTTTTTTTTATATCTGCGTGTGTCCGGACCAGTTTACRCTCACTTCAACTAATCTCACGGAGCAACTACCTGATCCTACAACATTTGGTGCCGAGAAAGACATAGGAATTAATTCCCAAGGTAGGTGGCCATTATGGGGTTTGAACCCGTTCCCTCTCAATTACCCTAGTCCCTTTGAACCAATGAGCCACCCATGATGGTTCCTTGACCTCTTTTTTCGTCTAGATCGGTCTCTACACTATTACTTGTATTCTACCTATGGTCCTTCTCCACCCATTGACAAATAGTGCTCTTACAATTAGCTATATCACCCCAATAGAGTTGACAACACTTCACAGATTATATTAGGTGACCTTAATTAAACCACACAGAGTTGCAAAAAAAAAATGCAGTGAGAATAATGAGCATAATATTGTAGAATATATCACCCCAATAGAGTTGCAAATAAACACGCAAATTCAGTTCTGGGATCAAATTGAGACCAACCCTCATGGTTATAAGACAAAAAGGTAACCTTAATTATAATAAATGCAATGAAAATAATGAGCATAATATTAAATAAACCATTGGAACACAGGGGATGAACCTCTTGGGCAGCTTTGACGAGGGTAACATGGAATTGCTTAAAGCAATCAGTTCCAAGGGCCCCATAAAGGATGGCTACTGTACTTCCAGAAGATGAACCGAAGTGAACGTGATCAAAGTCATACAAGTCAGGTGGCTGTATAGAATCCCCAACTCTGACACCAGAAAATGAACTTATAACAAAAATTAAGAAAAAAACGTGTAGAAGATACCAATCAAAATCTATTCCATTGAGAAGGAAGGGTGGCAAACGACACTAAAATCATTATAAAGACTAGAGATCCAAAATTCAATCCACCTGTTTCATCCAACAAAACAACCTAATCAATCTAATTTCTTAATGAAAATCATAATACACACTGACCTTCCTAGTTAAGCAATTTGATTAGGTGAAAACTACTTTTTGTTGTATTGATGATAACAATGGGGTGGTCAAGTTGCTATTTTTTATATTTAGCACAAAGCTACAACCATCGAGTCGAGTACTTATACTTCGTACAATATTCCTAATCAGAAAACAACACGTTGAGCGTATTGGATGTACACATCCAATGTAAAATTATTTTTCTCAAATGATATTGTTAGTTATATTGAAATCAATTCAAACAAATAAATATATTGCTAACATATCAAACCAAACCAACCTCACCCGCTTATTTTATGGGCCAGGTTGCATTGGTTAATATGTCCTAGAGGTTTTCCCCAGTTGCATTTCACTGTGGGTTTAATTCTAGCAAAACAAGTCTGTTGAAATATCTACAACATCTCCTGCTTCTGGGGTCAGGTTGGCTAATATTACTAACCTTTCAGCAGGATTCTGAAGCCACAGTTGCAATTCTGGAACATCAAAAAAGAGCGATCCACCAGTATCCACCCAACAACATCTGTCACCAGGAGTTTTTGGTTTACGTCCAACAACTGAAGTATCTGATTTTTTCCTTTCAATGCTTTCATTTCCTTCTCCAACAATATTGGAAATACTTTCTTCAGGCAGAGGAAAAGAAGAAAGAGATTCGTCTGCTAATTGTTGGTAAAGAACCAATCTAGGGGATGCTGATCTTAGAATGAGAGAAAATTCAAATAATGAGGCAAGAGGGTCACTTAGAAGAAAACATCCGTGCTTTAAAATTTTCTTGAGACAATCTTTAGCGGTAGAAGCATCAGAATCATTTCCTTCCTCACGAATCCAAACCTCAATAAAATCCCAGTAAAGGTCTTTCCGTTCTTTAGCAAGCAATTCTCTGTACGCAACAAAGAGTTTAAGTTACTGCATTGTGTAAAATTGAAACTTCATTTCACAGTGAATATGAATACTGTGAGTATTGGCCGAGAATCATTCACTGATTGCAATTTAGCAGTTAGAATTTCGGAAATGTATTCTTCACTTGGCCTTAAATTAAGAAAAGTAAACCACCTTTCTGGAAATGTATACTTCACTTGGCCTTAGATTAAGAAAAGTAAACCACCTTTCTGGTATGAATAGAAGAAAACTATAAACATGCCCACTCTAAAAACATGCACATGCCACCACCCAAATGAAAAATATTGCTCAGCCATAAGCATTGCACCCAATGACCATTATCTTCACCACCCTCAGTGAACATTTGGATCACATTAGACACCTCTCCCAATGCCTTCAAAATATTAAAAATTAATCGGTGCAGGACTTTATCCACATAACTCAATTTTCTTCCGCTAACATTTTCTCATCCAAACTCTACTACAGTAGCTCCAAATCAATAATAAAAAAACAAAAAAATAGGAGAACGAAAGCAAAGGTACCCAGCTTCTAGGAGAACTGAAGTTCCCGACCACTTGGCTCGAACCGCAACCTGCACGTTCTTGGGTCTTCGAGTCTCAGCAAAAACTCCACTGCCTCCATAGATTCCCAACAATGATATAATGATCAGAGCACCACACGCAGATCTAAAAGAGCTCGTCCCCATGAGCAAAGCAAAACCAAACACGGTCTTAACTTCAATTATAGAATTACAGAATCTCCACCATTGATCGGCTTGAAAAGAGATGGTGATAAATCAGAGACTGAAAGGTTGCCGAGAGAATGGAGTTTCGAAAGTGAGCCTCTCGAGCTCGGCGACTATGGAGAAGACTCCGCAGTGGAAGGAAGATCCGCAAGGTTAGTCGAAGGCAATATCGTCATTCTTCAGATTATTTGAGGATAATTTTGTCATTTTGGGTGCCCGCGTCAGATTGCCAACGTGGCTCTCCTTTATTGGACAATGTTCGGCAAGAGAAATTTACTGGGTCCGCATTGTAAAGCGGATCGGCCCACCACCATCTACAGAAGCCCAATTGGTTGCCAGACGGAAATTAAGGCCCATCCATCCACWCTTCGCCCGGCCCACAAGGAAAAATTCTCAAYTTTTAAATATATAATTAAATTCTAAGGACAAACTTGAAATAATATATGTGTAAGAAAATGATGAAAAGTGGAACAAATATGCCTAAAAAATACTACTATTTTTTTCTAGTACAATATATGAGAGTGGGGATTCGAACTCACGATTTTTTGGTCGAACACAGATGCCTTAACTCTAGTTAAGTTGTGCTCAAGTTAGCAAACAATACTGACTATTAATTATTACGATGTTTTGCATCATACAAAAAATATTCAAATGAGAGCCAAAGTTGACATTTAAGTTTTCTTTTTATTTTAGTACAACAAATATGGGAATAAGAGATTGAACATCTAATCTCTATGAAAGAAGCAATATGTCTTAACCGTTTAACTATGTTGATATTGGCAAGTTGACAATAAGACTAGAATGACCGATGATTATACTAATATCAATGACTTTCTTTTTGCTCTACATTGGAATATGATAGTAGTGAGCAAAATTTTGAATATGTGTGAGATAAGATAGGACAATTAAATCGAAAAATGACTTGTCATCGATTTTACATATAGTATTAGGATGTAAAAGTGATCTTAAAGTAAGGGTTTGTTTGGGAATGATCTTAGAATGAATGATTTTAGCTACAAATGTTTAATGATCATTGATTTGTGAAAGTGATTTTATATAACCATTTTAACGTTTAGTTAGACATTTTTTCAAATAATTTTTTATCATTAAAATTGATTTTAAATTATTAATGTTTAAAGTTCGGAGAATTTGACCAAATTTTTAGGAGAAAGAAAAATTTAGAGAGAGAAATTTTAGAAAGTGGGAGAAAAATTTTAGACAGATAAACAAATTTAGAAACTAAAAGAGATGAGAACTGCAAATTTTGAAAATATTACAAAAGWATTTTGAAGAAAAAAATTAGGGAGAATAAACCAAATTAAAGATGAATAAAGCAAGGAAGTGACAAACCTTTTAGGAAATAAAATCTTGAAAAATAAGACAATAACCATTTTAAAACCAAAATTTCTATTTATTTTTTTTTTGTCAAAAATCACTTGGAAAATAAGTGATTGACAAAATCACTTAAAGCGATTCCGGATTTTTTGTAAAATTATTTATGAATCATTGTCAAATATTTTATTTTAACATAGAAGTGATTTTAGTCCTTTTAAACCTACCTTAACTTATGACTTCTTGATCAGGACTGATGTCAATTATCGCTGAGCTAAGTTCATTTTAACGACCTATTTATATTTAGTTGATATAGCTGGACTTCGTGTATTTCCCCCAAGTATTTGTAACACTAGTTTTTCGTATATTTTCAATTTTWTTTTTATATATGTGGTCCATTATTTTAAGGAAGTGAGTAGGGAGGGAAAGAAATGCATTATTTAACTCTTCTATTTGTCATCATCTATAAATAKAATTCAACTATATCATACACGAAATATATGTGCTGATTTTTGTGGAAGAGTTGAAAATTCTTTTGAAACTTCCAACTGACTGAGTAGTCAAATCTTTAACGAAGATGAATCTAGCATAACTCATTGATTAAGGTACATATGTCAAATCAAAAAGTTATAAGTTTGAATCTCTACCTCGTGAATTTTTTTTTGATAAAAAAAATAATAAAAACAATGTGTGGTTTACTATGTACTAACTTGTACAATAAAAATTGAAAAATAAAATATTTTAAAATATATTTGTTAACATTAAGGAGACGATACATTTCTATTTATTATTTCTCGTTTCTTATTTTCTAATAAAATAAAAACGGAATTGTTGCTTGGTAATCCTTTTTTGTTTAAGAAAAGAAACATGTTGATTAAAGATTTTCATCCTATGGTTCTCTAAAATTTTAAACGCGAATGATTGAATAATCAAATTTGTCGTGCTACATTTATTTTTAATATTTGTTATGTATTTTATAAATCAAGAATAATAAAATAATATTTTTATTTATATTTTGAAAAATCTAGAAACGAAAAGGATAAACAATAAAATTATTGTTTCGGAAAAATTAAACTCAATTTTAAAAACATGTCTCGATAATGTAAAACAAGAAACAAAAATGGTTACAAACACTATATTTTTTAAAAATTAAAAACAAAACACATAAAAAAAAGAACGTAGCAAAATAAATTATGACTTTTTTTTAACCTAGCATATAGGAATGGAAGATCGAACTCACAAACTTTTTATTGAAGATTTATGTCAATTACGGTCGAGCTGTGCTTACTGTCACTAATACTGATACTCCTGTGATTGTGACTCTGAGGGAAGATGCATTATTAGGTTGACCCATCACGGTATTAAATGCCAAATGAAATTTGCCTTAAAGCATGCATATCTAATTGGACCATACATTTATTCGCGGCACATTCAATTAGGGCCACATGCTTTTGCTTTCTTTTATAAAGATGAAAAAACATTTTAATTCAATTTGTGGACCAAAGATGTTGTGAAGGGATAAAATAATAATAATAAAAAAAAGCATAATTTTTTTGGGTCGGTTTGAAATATATAAATTTTTTAACTAGTGTAGCTGTAGATGAAGAAGAAATAAAAATATAAAAACAATATATTTTTTTTTCTGAAAGAAATTTTGAATTGAAAACAATTTTGTAGAAAATACATCGAAAGATCCTCGTTTTAATATTCTTATTCCAACACGGTTTGTAAGGTACTGTTCATCCTTTTATGTGTGATTGTTTTCTATTAGATCCGATGACATAAGAACAAGCTCATCGAGACAAATAATATGAACCACACATTTATTTTAGTAGTCTATTTCAACGTGTTTACAATAAGTCGTTGAGTCAATGTTATTACCTAATTATATTATAATTTGTGCCTTTATGTTYATCTCTAACAAAAAAGTATATATTAAATGAGTGTACCCCAATCTTATTCATGTATCATGTGAGAAATTAAATTGAAAACATTATTTAAAATACATGAACRTAATTAATAAAATTATTAGAGGACTAAATATACCGTAATTTAATTGATTTTATGTCCATCAATCTTACTTAAAAAAAAAATTGTGTGGGGACACTCAAAGAATGCGGGTATGGATCCAAAAGTAATTAATTCAAGGCCCACCAATAAATTTCTTAGAATCTAGAGACTACCTCCTACCGAACGACCCCATAAAATTATTATATAATTGAGATTGAAACCTCCAATCTTTTAGTAGGTGATAACGTTTGAGCTATTTTAAAAGAAAATCTATTAAGCAAGAGAAATTGATTATTTGTTGAAGATTAATGGATTGTGACTACAGACGATGCGAGAGATAGAGAGGAAATTATTAGTATTTTTTAATTTAAATTTTCAAAAAGGGGGAACAGAGGAAACTTTTTTCAAATGAAGATGAAAAAGAAAAAGGGCTTTGTTTTTATAAAGACAAAAAAACAAATAAATAAGGTATCTTTATCATCTTTATCGTTGCTAAGTGATATGTTGACATCATAAGTAATAAATGAAATAAATATGACAACCTAAATTTATATAGCTTGATAATTAAATCATATTTACCTGATATTATAGTTTTGAGCTGTCGTCCTCCTACTTGTGGGGTAATCGAGTTCAAAAATCAAAATAAGGTTAACTTGATCAGTTAATGTATATATATCTTCGATCAAAAAGGTAGATATTTAAATTTTCACCAGTAAATTTAAAAAAAAAAATCAAAATAAGAAAATTTTTAAATTTGAAAATATTTGAATTGATACATTTTGAGACATTACTTATAAATGAACAAAATTAAACAAATTAATTCTATTATAACTATCCAACTTTATTTTTAAAATTTGTAAATGATAAAACTATACGAGCATTGCATAAAGTTCAATATTATTATTTTATAGATTAAAATATAAGGTTCATAATATTTAAAAGATTTTATTTGGTTGACATAATATAGATCAATTTGTAAAAGTCATAATGTACCTGGTTGGATTCTCAGACTTCTTGCCTTATTAAAAAAAATTAATCCCTTAAATTTGAAGGAGTTTAAATTCCATCATTGTTTATAATTTTTACATTAGGAATTAACCAAAAAAATATAAAAAAAAAAGACATTTGTTTTACTTTTGATTAAGTATAACATTTTCATATATGATATATTATTACCCATTCATGATATGGAGAATGACATTCCGAACGTGTTATCCAATGCAATCCATTAATATTTATATCATGAGTTATTTTTCGAAAGAATAACTTAAATGACTAATAAATCAAATCATATAGAATTACAAAACTATTGAGACTATAATAATTGATAAGCGAGTTTAAAAGCATAAAATAAAATAATGTAACAAAAATAAAAACGAACGTAGAGATATAGTTGAAATTTTAAACCTGGAATGAAAAAGAAAAAAGCGTTATTATTCTCGATTAATTCATATCAAAATATTATATGTTACAATATTATACTGCAAATAAGAAAGTATACCGAAGCTTAATTACTTGACTATATCTTAATATGATACAAAAATCACATACCTAATCTAATAGACAAGTATTAAGCCACGTATACATGAATATTCCACAACTAACTTGTGAGATATGGAGCAAGTACACGTTGAATTGTTGATTCCAATTCACAAACGTGCATTCAAAAATGGATGCAAAGATTTGAAAATTTTGTAATAAGTTAATTTGAAGTGTCTTGTTTATGGAAAGTTATAATGTGTTTTCTTCTCCTTCTTATAAGGTTGGAAAGAAAGTTTCAAGTACGAAGATTTGAGGTGGCAGAATTTTGCTATTTAAGTAATCACTGATGTAAAACAAAAAGTGAATTTTTTTAGTACAACATGTGATTACCATCAAACTATGTTCATTTTGGCAAAACAAATGTGACTTGAGACATAGATGAATAATTTATATTTTTTGTAATACAATAATTTAAAGATATAGGAGATCGAACCTCCGACCATGAACGAAATAATATATGTCAATTACTACAGATAAATAATTTGTATTAATTAACTAACAAAACCTACCTAATGGAGAAGAATGCATTATAAAACCTATTGGCCACCCAATTTGACCATCGAAAAGAGCCCAAAGCATTATGCCTAAGATCAATCAATAAATAAATACAACAATCAAGATGTTGGAGATTTTTGAATAGTTAGATTAAAAAAAAAAGAAGTTCTATATATCAATAAAAATATTGTTTGGTACAAAAGTAAGGTGTTTTCTTTTTTTCTTTTTTTGGGTATATGGGTCAACAATAGAACGTGTTTGATATTAATCAGGAGTAAGTGTGTTGTTCACATAATATCAGCTACAAATGATTACGAGAATCTTTTGGTGAATAAAGAAACTTGTCAAACAAAGAGTGAGAACTTCGACACTCAAGTTAGTACATGTCATACTATGTATCAAAGTACTTTTGTCATTATTCATTTATGTCTCTTCGTGCTTATTGTATCGTCTTATAGGTGAGTTGGGAGCGCGCTAGTGCAAATATTCCCATGACACATACTACAGATCAAGGAGAGTCGGAAAATTACGGACGACATTTAACTGCATTCATTCAGTTCCCTCAATCGCGGCATTATAGGAGATTGGCCGCATATTGGGGATGCTTCCCTTATGTGCATCGGTCTCATTACCCGAGTGATCAATTAGATTTAGTGTACTATTCCTATATCGACAYGTGGCAATCGAATTTACCCCACAACAAAGTATATAACGAAGTGAAATTTGGTTTAAATTTTATGCTTTACTTTTCACCCTATCAAATCTTTTTAATTACCTATTTGTATTTTATTTTATCTAGTTGATTTATTCTTTTTTGCCTTATTAGAATCAAAATCGCAACTTAATTTTCTGTTTTTAGATTTAGAAGAAAAAAAGGGAAGATTGCGTCATTAAAAAAAAATAAATCTAGGTTCTCAAAGGCGAGCATCCATATATATAGTATAGTTCTATAACTATAAAATAAATAATATTAACATTTTAATATTAATCTTCATTATTTCATTTTTATTAATGATAATTAATGAATTAAACCTACAAAATTATGTAAAAATCGTGGAAATAAAATTGTTCAACTGAGTTATAATTATAAACTGTAACGTGACAAAGCATGAAACCTGTAGTTTGATTTGAGATTTCCCATGATTTAGGTCCGTCATTTTTAGTTTTTTTTTTCTCGTTCATCATTTTCTATTATTTATTTATTTTATTTTACTTTTTCAATAAGAACAGTGGAATTACCTTTTGGTAACTACTTATGTTTTATATTTTTTCATTAAAAAATAAATTAAACAAGAAAAAGTTAATATAAAAATTATCAAATTAATATTCAAAATTTGTATGCTATATTTATTTTTTGATATTAATTATAATTTTTTTATGAGTAGAACAAGTAGAGGTGAGAAATTCAAATGCATATTGCCCATATTAATTATAAATTTTAAAAATTAGAATGATAAAATAATATTTTTATCTATTTTTRGGAAAAAAATTTTGAAAATTAAAAACAAAAACTTATTTTTATTATTTTCAAAATTTTTACATGATTTTGAAAACATTTCTTAAAAATCGTAAAAAAAACAGCTATAAGATGTTTATGTTTTTGATAAATGAAAAATGATAAATAAGAAACGGGTGCTAAATGTAAAAAAAAAGTTTATTTTATAGTGGGTTCACTGTAAAAATTAAATAATTAGAAAAAAGAAAACTAATGTTTAAAACATTTGATATAGCACTACAACAAGGACTAGAACCAACGTACAAATAGTTCAATTTATATTCCAAAATTCAACGTGGAATGGAAAAGCATGAATGGGTGGCTAACCTAAGGTAGGTAGCTAACAAGTCTTTGGTGGTGGGATACTCAAGTAAATTCCTTTCACCTTTTTCAATTTCTTTCAGTACCATGCGCGGTAGAGATTTGAATAATCAGTTCGTTTTTTTTATGAGGTATAAACGAGAGAATTTATCCTAAAAACGGAAAAAACGACCTTCACAAGGATTTATGTACAAAGAATAAGCAAACCCTTATGGATTGTATCYGAAGACATGGAAAGGGATGTTTTTATGTCAGCAATTACCAAAATTTTCAACGCATTGCAGCAGAGATTCGAATAATCAATTCAACTATATTAAGATTACCAAAATTTTCAATTCTTAATTTCTCTTTTTAGGTTTTTTTAGAATATATAAAATTATAAACATCAGCGAGATTTCAAATTTTACAAATTTTAAGAAAATTACTATTATTAATATCTTTAACGAGTTGAGATTGTAACACATTTTAAATTTTATGTCACCCGCCACGAAGAATAATATTAAACGAAGGCGATTAATTAACTAATTTGTTGGTGAATGGAAAAGGGGACGTATTTTTAAATTCAATCAATGTTTGGAGGAGCTTCTCGGAATCTAGGATTGTCAAAAGATTTTTGGGAAAGAATAATCCCCCAATTCAGTTATGCCTATGTGGAGGGCGTCCAAAAATTCAACCATCTCTAAATTTGGTCAATTTAATTCAAACTAAAAATATATATGTATATAGAAGTTTGGGTTAGGTTTGATTTTTCTTCTCTTTTCTTTCTTTTTTTTTGTTTATAAGTTCACACCAGGAAAAAGATTTGTATCGACTATTTGAGTTATGTTCGCGTTGACAATAGATTGAAGCCATAAGTTCTATAGTCCAATGAATTTTCATAAAATTTAACTTAAGTATATTATAAAGGTAGCATGTAGATCATTATCTTCATTTTATTTTATTAAATAATTATTTTTTAATTTTACACTCTTTAATAATTTGTAGAAACTGTCAGATGACTGAAACATCAATTACCCTTCTAAAATTTGAGATTTTGACCCACCTTTGCCATTATTGAACTCAAATTATTATATAACATATATGAGCTTAAATGTTATAAAATTTATAGTAAAATGTAATCTTTTTTTTTTATTTTTAAAAAATATGTTGACCCAAGATTCTATGCAAGGTATCACATCAGTCGATGAGCTGAAGTGATCAGCTACGGAAGGAAACTACAAACAAAACCTTGCACGAGTGGTCGAGTCTAGCTTAATTAGATTGTTTAGAGATTACATATTGATCTTGGAAAGACGAGACTTCACCTTTTAAAGGGGAGCTTCAGGAATTGCACCTCTACCGTCGTGCTAGAGTATTCTCAATTTTTAGATCAGTGGCAGACAATTCTATAAATCTCACTTTGTCCTATAATCGAGTTGAGACTCAMATACGTGTTATAGAGCATGAATGATCCAAACATGACAGACCTCTAACTTACCTATAACATTTTTCTCGTTCCATAGCTACTAAATTAAACCCTTTTTAAGACCTTTTCCCCACAAATTTCCAAACAAATCATCTATCATCTAAACACCGATTTACCCCAAATGAATTTCTTTCAAACAATAATGTCTTTGTTGAAAGAAGAACCCCACCTACGAGAGAAAGATTAGACTGATTAATTTGGAAGCCTCCACGCCACCCCACCACGCACAATAATGTGGTTTTGTCTTTTCATTAGGCCTTCATATTTCTTCGTCAGACTCGCTCAATTCCATAATTTCAAATCCCTAATCACAAATGAAGCTTCCCCCAAATCCCAATCCCAAGTCCACCAAAAAAAAAAGGTATAATAATTTAAATTCCCCCCCTTGTCTACCATATATATTCATAAACAACCAATGAATAAGAAGAGAAAAAGAAAAGAAAAATCTTGAAAGGACCACCCCCCAACCCAACTCCCCCATCCTCCTCCAGAATAATACGCCTTCTGCCCTTCTCTCTCTCTCTCAAGTCTTAAGCCATTTTCATTTTCATTTCATTTTTCATCTGTGAACTAAAACAGCAGCCATGGAGATGATCAATCACCTCCACTGGCCGGGTGCGGCGGAGAAACTCGACAGCAGCGGAGGGAAGAAGGCGGCCGAGCACGGCAGCAGTTCGGAGGATGACGACGATGAGGAAGAGATGCCGTCGTCGCTGAGCCTCAGAGAGCTCTCCAAGATCATACTTCCGCCGTTGGGAGTTTCCAGTTTCACTGAGCATGCTCAAATCAAGTCCATCAAGTGGATCATCTCTCCCATGAGCTCCAGATACAGGTACCACTCCACACACTTAACTTAATTACTCCTTTATATTTTAATATTTCTGATGAATTTACATGGAAGTGATATTTAGAGAAAAAATTAGGCGATACCGAAAATGTATTTCTTTATTGAGGGGTCTCGGTGGAATTTTTTTTTTTTCCTAATCAGTTTAGAGGGGATGGAGGATAAGCCACGGAAACAGGACGTTTAGCTAGGGAATCTCTCCCGTCCAAGAGTSGGAGTGCCGATGAACTCCACTTGACAGTAGTGGTAACCGTAGTTTCGAGAAAAATAAAAAAGAAAGTAAAATTAACGGTTCGTTACTAATTAATATTGAAAAGTCTTTGGTGGTGTATGGTGCGTGTTTATCTAAAGGAAAAAGTTTATAATTTCTCCCCAAATTGTTAAAAATGGGCAAAATTTTAAACTTTTTTGTTCTTTTTTTTCTAAATTTATACAACTCTTTAGGTATGAATTTTCTAATTTTATTTTGATTAAATTTTCAAAAATAATGGCTGCATAATAAGTCAGTATAATTTTCACTTTATTTTACCTCGTAATATATATTAATAAAATTCAAAATCCTATTTGTGTCCATTATGTCATGGGTTTTAAACTTTTCAATAATGCATTTCACAAGAAAATTACACGACACTATACCTATGAATCGAGTATTAAAATTAGTGGCTTAAAATTGATGTTGAATGCAAGTTAATTTTGAAAAATGTTCTGGCTAGGGTAACTATAAACTTCTCTCTCTTATAAAGCAATTAAATTTTCTTTTTAAAATAATTATTGTAGTTGATCAATTTTTTTTCAAACAATGACGAAMTAAATTTCCCCCTAAAAATTGACCAAATAGACTTAATTCCATTTTGTACCATATATKATAAAACTTTTTAAAAATAGATTTATATTCTTAAATATTTTAATAATATTTTTATTTTCTTTGAGCTGTCACAAATCCTAATGTCTAATTTTTAAGGCTATACTAGATCCAATATAATATTTTAAAACACAACATGAGAAGATGCTATGTATGATTTTAATTAAACATATTTAAGAAATTTAATGGCAGATGTTCACATTTTCCGATACAAAGTTGAACAACTTAAATAAAATGTCAAAGAAATATAATAGCTTGGAGTGTAAGATAAAATTTAATTCTATAATAACATTACAAAAAACGAAAAATGAAAATCCAATTAAATTTTGTTAGATTCAAAAATATCATAAAAATGTAAAGCAACGGTCCGGATATTCTCGAATTTTGACTAATATTTTGAGTATATTTTATTTTTAGTCATTCATCTGATCAATTTATGGTTGGATTGAGATAGATTATTAGGCAAAATAAAAAGGTTATTTATTTATTTTACTATTCTTCCTCCTCACATTTTAAAAGAATAAATATACTATTTGACAACTGCCGACAAAACAGTAGGCTTTCGGTGGTACCAAAAAGATTCTTTTCCATATAGAGAAGGTCTTTCCCCATTGTTTGATAAATTAATTGTCTCTTTTCAATAAATAAAATAAAATAATTGTCTCATTCAATGCAAATTTATGGAGGTGATTTCAAAAAATAAAAACTACAAAATAATTATAAATAAGTCAATACTTTTGAAAGCTATTGATTTMAATCTTAGTTATTCATCGGGAATGCGCCAAAAAATGACCACAATTCATTTTTACGTATTTTTCACTTAGAATTAAAAATAAATAAAGATCATTATTGTCTAAATTATTTCTCGATAATTAAACATGAATAATATACCATCAAACATAGAGACTAAAAAGATATTAAGACACAAAAAAGAAAGAAAAATAAATAAAAACGTGGTAATACACATTAATTAAGACAGTAGCATAAGAAAAGATGGTCCTCGTTCTTTGTAAAATAATAATGCGAATATTGGATAGAACTTTTTTTGGGTCAAGTAAACAAGCGAAAATAGTGATAATCTTTTAAAAAGTGAGAAATATCACTGTCATTTTTTCTTTTAATAAAAGTATGCCAACTTGAGTCCATCACTTAGAAAAGTGATTCTCTTTTTTTATTTTATTACCATAAGTTTTTAACTAATCAATTACTTAAAAATAGATAAACTTAAAATTCATATATATTTTCTTTTAGAATATTATACTAAAAAAAGAATACTGAGTAGACAATAATCTAAAGTTTTTAGTCAACGGTCGAATTAAAGAATGTATTTTTGACTAAAAGATCACGTATTCGAACTTGATTTGAAAATGTTGCTTCCACCGAAAAAATAATTTAAAATTTTATTTATTTATTTTTTTAGAGAGTTTAATTGATTTGATTTTTTTTTTATACCAAACCCAATGAATATTTTACGTGAAACTGATTTTACAATCATTACTAAACGAAGGTTCCTGTAATTAATCAAATATTTCTCTTAATCCCATTTTCTAAAAAAAGTACTTTCTTTGATTGTTCTACTTTTTCCATCATCCTCCGCTAAACGACGACGTTTTCTGGGACCGCTGGATCCGTCAAATCATAGTCAGAGGTCACTTTATTTATTTTAAACAAATAAACGTGCAAAATAAAATAAAAAAGAAACCAGAAAATTAAATACATGTGAGGAAAAAAAAAAGACGATGCAGATTGTAGATTCTGAAAAATGGGAGGCGATTTTGCAGGTGGTGGCAGTCGTTCATGGTGGTTCTGGTTGCTTACTCAGCGTGGGTTTATCCATTGGAAGTGGCGTTTGTGGACGCGATTCCCAAGCGGGGATTGTACATTGCAGATAACGTGGTCGATTTCTTCTTCGCCATTGATATCTTCTTGACCTTTTTTGTCGCTTACATCGACCATCGGACTCAGCTTCTGGTTCGTGATTCGAAGAAGATTGCTCGCAGGTCAGAATTCTCCATCCAAATTTTCCGTTTCCCCTTTTCCTCGTGATGGGTTTCCAATTCTGGTTTTTGGTATGAAATTTTATTGTGCATCTTCTGAAAAGTGCTTTTGGAAATTAGAATGACTTCTGAGATGAGGAGTGTATGTTATGGTGAATTTGATAAGGAATTAGACGTGCATTGATTGGATATTTGGAAATTGCTGTGTGTTTGGTTGGTAAGTTCAAAACTATTTTAGTTTCCCTAAACAATTATACATAGTTGTGGTAGAACTTGTTAATTTAATTTGTTTTTAATCGAAGAACTTATTTGAAGAATCTGCCAATCTTCTTGTGCTTTTTGACATGAAGTGTTACTCTTGGAAGTTCATCCGAAAACTAGTTTCAAACAATGCTTTGATATGTCAAATGATGTGAGTAATGTATAGTGGAAAGTTCCTATTACCTCATAGTGGTTTACACTCTGCTCATGATGTGGACAGGGCAACACCACTTACTGTCGTCTGTGATATTGCCAAAATGTCATGGGTTGTCCCATTTTGTGACGGGATTATAGCCTGAATATCTAGAACTTATGTAAATAGTTTTCCATAGGTACTTGTCAACATGGTTCTTGATGGATTTGGCGTCAACAATCCCATTTGAGGCATTGGCCTACTTGTTCACAGGAAAATATGATATTGGTCTCCCATATTCACTTTTGGGCTTGCTCAGATTTTGGCGACTGCGACGTGTCAAGCAATTTTTCACAAGGTTTGTTTTTGGATTCTGTTGTCTTATTGGTCACTTATCCCAAAAACATGACACTCAATGCACTTCACGTCTCGAAGAATACATAGAGTTAGAACATTGTCAAATAAGAAATTGAAACATCTCGTTGAAATTGTTTTTAAGTTTAAGAAATGGGGGAAATTTTCCAATTGACAAGACGAGTTATTTGTTTTGCAGGCTTGAGAAGGACATTAGATTCAGCTACTTCTGGGTTCGATGTGCTAGGCTTCTATCTGTAAGTGAAAAAATGAAAAATTCTCTCTTCAAACTGACTGAAACTTTTCGAAAGGTTGATCTGGTTACAAGTTGGTGAAGTTGGGGTACGATTTTCTGTTTGTAGGTCACATTGTTTTATGTCCATTGTGCTGGATGCCTCTACTACATGTTGGCTGACCGATATCCACATGAAGGAAAGACCTGGATTGGAACTGCGATTCCAAATTTCAAAGAGACTAGCCTTGGAGTGAGATATATTTCAGCCTTATATTGGTCTATCACCACCATGACCACCGTCGGTTATGGTGATCTTCATGCTGTGAACACCATAGAGATGATCTTCATCATTTTCTATATGCTCTTCAATCTTGGCTTAACTGCTTACTTGATCGGTAACATGACAAACTTAGTCGTTGAAGGAACTCGTCGCACGATGGAATTTGTAAGTATTCACATCTGTTCCCATGTATATTGGTTTCTAAATACGATTCACATTTTTAACTTGACCATTACTTGAATTGGCATTGACATGTTTGATTGATTGATCACCTTTGTAGAGAGATAGCATTGAAATGGCATCACATTTCGTTAACCGAAACCGCCTGCCTGGAAGGTTGAAGGAACACATATTGGCATACATGTGCTTGAGGTTCAAGGCCGAGAGCCTAAACCAACAACAACTGATCGAACAGCTTCCAAAGTCAATTTGCAAAAGCATCTGTCAGCAATTGTTTTTGCCGACCTTGCAGAAAGTCTACCTCTTCAAGGGTGTCTCAAAGGAAACACTTGCGCTGCTGGTGAGCATGACAGAATGTTTTTTTAGCTTGGCATGCAAAGCTGGGACAAACTCACCTAGTAACTTTAACTAACTATGCGATAAAATCGGCAGGTGGCAAAGATAAAAGCCGAGTATATACCACCCAAGGAGGACGTGATAATACAAAACGAGACCCCTGATGATGTTTATATCATTGTGTCTGGGGAAGTTGAAATTATCGACTGTGAGATGGAGGTGGAGCGGACTGTTGGGACCTTACATTGTGGCAGCATGTTTGGGGAAGTTGGAGCACTTTGTTGCAGAAACCAAAATTTTACGTACAGAACCAAAACTCTTTCGCAGCTCTTGAGGCTGAAAACAAGTGTACTACAAGAAGCTATGCATGTCAAACAAGAAGACAGTATAGTCATTGTCAAGAACTTCCTTCAGGTTCGTATAAGTTCTTTTGAAGCACCGGTATTTTCTCTCTGCAACCGTTTGATTAGCTCAAGAGAAATAGTAATTCTTTTTTCGAGTATATTTTGATTGCTTCTGTTTTTCATGCACTGACATTTGCCACCGCCCCCAAAAAGGGGAACAAGAGAAAGGAAAGAAGGAAGAACTCCCCACTAAAGTTTTGTTTTATGATTGATTCTGTGCAAGTTTAGGAACTGTTTGGGAGCTGTTTTAAATAATAGTTTTCTGTTTTTCAGGACTTTTTTTTTTTGTGAAAATATGCCTGGCTAAGTGTGTAAAACTCGTTTTCACTTGTTTTTCTTTAGTTTACTTTTATGAATGACTGTAAATAATGATTTCACTGTTTATCTGCTCATAGTTCTCCAAAACAATCTTGAAAACAACGTAAAAAACTGTTTGAAAACAATCCCAAAACAAACCATTTGTTTCTCCAAAAAAATTCGACGTTGTTATGGAGAAAAATTTGTCTTTAACATCCTCAAATAAACTGTTGCAGGAAAGGGAGCTCAGCCACAAAATCACCATAGACGGTTCGCCCGCAAAAGAAGCAGTGCCGGTGTTGAGTGAAGAAAAAGAGCAAAGTTTCAACTGGAAACACTCCATTGAATTAGATTCTGCAAGAGTTAACATATACAAAGGCCATCCAGTAGCCAGAAAGCAGGCTTCTTGTGATGATCCTGGAAAGTTGATCAAATTGCCACATTCAATGGAGGAGCTAAAAAAAGTTGCAGGTAACACTCTAATGGAAACAACATCACTTTGGGTGACTTTTAGATGTTTTTTCTATAAACACTTTTAAAATCACTTTTGACCATACAACCCAGCTCTATGGAAATTTTAAAAAGTGCTTTTAATTAGTCAAAAACACTTCTCACCACTGTACAAGTCATCTCAAACTCAGTTCTGGATCAGATTGCTTCCTTCCTAACCCAGTTTCTGCAATCTTAACAGGTGAAAAGTTTGGGTTTGATGCAAGAAATGCTCTTTTGACAAATGAAGAAGGCTCTGAAATTGATTCTATTGATGTGATAAGGGATAATGATAAGCTTTTTTTCATAGTTGCAGACGATAAA